GAGCATAAGTTGGAACACTACTTCAAAAAATTGAGAAGAACATTTTTCTCTAATTAAAATACACAAGTTGGCAAAAATCTTGTAATGATAAACACATACATTCCAATGCATTTCTCTACGAGAAAATGTAAAAATAGTTAAATGTTCTCTTTAATCTTCAACAATCAAGATAATATAAATAATCAAACTTAAACATCAGCAAGCTCCAATTACAATCAACACCACAAAAGAATCCTTATTAGCTTAAAGGTTAAAATCATCGATTATATTGTCCAACTCTTGTAGACTAAAGAGTTACAAATAAATAGAAATTTTACGGGCTATGACAATTCTTTGGGATCAAGAGCACTAACTAGATTCTGCAAGGACAACAATTTGTTAATGTGAATCATCAATTAAGTACTGATGCAGACAACAGAACTTCTAAATCAGAATCACAATATTGGCATAGTTCATGATAGTTAACCCCATTTGCTCTCACATCTTGGACTCCACTTAACACTATCATCAGAGGAAGAAAGAAACACGGGATACAATGAGCTGTTTGTATTACTCCCAGTAGACCAAAAGAATGCACATTTTCTATAACTTTTGAACATCACTCCAAATAAACATAAAAAGCAACTAGCCTACTCACTTGTGTCTTAAAATTACCTCAGCAGCTGCTGAAGTGGATGAAAGATACTGTATAATAATGTCGTAGGCATCTGGTACACATGCAGGTGATTCTCCCAAACATCTAAGTTTTGGTCTGTAACCTGAAATAAAGATTGACAAGTTAGGATCATGTTTAAATAAGCTACTCAAATGAAGTGACGACACACACATTCACCACTTTTAAAGTTTATAACCTCTTAATGTCCACATTTAATAAGGTCAAAACTAAATGCATAAGAATTTTTCAATGAACTCCCCTAAGGTCATTGAATTGTTTACATAACAACCAAAGTTTTGAAGATAAACATGGACCCTCCTTCCCAATTGTTCACTGACTTCCCTTTGCAAGAGTTGTCATTTTACCTTTATGGAGAATAAATAAAAAAAATAACAATGAATTTTGACCAATAATAATCAAGTCAAACAGGGTCAATGAAACTTGCATACTCAAGGGAGGTCTTTTCTTATTCTCATAACTTATGGTAACTAGGTAAACAACCAGAAAACCTCACGGGAGGTCAATGAAATCCCCCTAAATAATAGTTTTCAAATACACCTCTCACAAACAAAATTAAAATAAAAAAGAAATTGAAAGGAAGAAAGCAAAAGAAAGTGAATATACATTGAAATTTAACATACTTCTTCTAAAAGTCATTGTTGTAAGCCGGTACCCGGCTAAAGTAAATATTCCTTTACGCACAATTAAGATCTCTACGTTCATTATCCTTCAAGGGGCCCAAATCAGATAAAGAAGCATCCCTCTTCTTCCGTTGAACTATCGGTTCCAGGTTTACATTGTTTCAGCATCTGACTCTGCAAATGCATTTAATATTGAAAGGAATTCACAAAAAGCTAAAGCATAGAGCTAGCTAACAAAGAAGCGTAATAAGTATAAGCTAAATCCAAAGGAGGACCATTATTTAAAGATGCATCATTTGTTATAAATAAGGACAGAAACATTGATATCATTCTTCAACTCTATGCACAACTTAGCCTGAAGGTTGTGTAACTAAATTCTGATATAAGACCCGACAAAACTGCATGAGTGTTAATTTTTTCCTCTAAATGATGAAGAAAAGAAGTGTCATTATTTTGCACACAAACTCCTTATGTGTCTATATATTTTTGGCAAATATCTTTAGCACTAGTTTGTTTCATTGATTCCAAAACTATAAGACATGATGTTTTCACAAGTGAAGTGACATGCAGGATGATCCACAGTTAACCGGATAATAATGAATGCATGCAGAAAATGTGTTAGGTGTCATTCAAAGGGAAAAATATAAATTTCACAGTTCCGAATACCAAAGCCCAAATAGAAAAAATACCGTTTAAGTTATCCTGCGTAAATCAGTCTTCTTGTTTAAATCGGTCTTTAATTTTATAATGTCCTCTTGCGCTAAACGGAGTTCATAATCACTAATTGCTAATTTCTCTTCTAGAGCTAATTTCTCTTCCAGTAAACTCTGAGGATCTGCAACTGCAATTCAAAATAAAACAGGTAGACCAAGCATCAAATTTGATTCTGAATCACAATTCATTTGAAATTAAAGTCAAATACCAAATTGTAATTGACGCAATGAAAAAACAGTCGACTAAAGAAAAGCAAGGAAGGTTTAGAAGCATAACAAATTAGAATCACCAAGTCTTAATCATTTATTCCCCAAAATAAGGCATGAAACTATAATCAAGCTCTTCCAACGATGATAATGTCACCAATCACTGAGAAATGGTGCTCTACAGGTGAGAAGACAGACCATTAGGGAATTTTTTATCTGAATTGAGTCTTAGGCTCTTTTGGCCCTTTGGAAAAACTAATCCTCTCAAAATTAAGTCAGAACGTCCCTCTCAAGCATAGATGTTTAAGCACATCATATGAAAAGCTAAGCACTTTGTTAACTATCCCCTATCTCAGCATTTGCTTCATTTTTTTTTTTTTTTTTTTTTTTTTTTGGGCAATGCTTTCCAGAAAATATTTAGTGAATATCAACAGTGTTCATCATCTGATGCCATAAGGCATCCATGTTATAGAATTCATGTACTTGTCTGACAAAGTTCATTCAACGTTTGTATCAAAAATATTTGGTTGTTGATTACTGATATCCACCAAAAAAAAAAAAAAAAAAAAAGGCTCTACACTCCATCACAGACATTTTAACTGCATATTAGTGAATGCCATGTTATTCTTCCTTCTGCACAGCTACTACTACTTTCTCTATGAAAAATAAAATTAAATAAACCCTCAAAGAAGGAGTTGAATTTTCCAAAACCATTTTACTCATTATTCATGTTGCCACCTCTAGTGATAAACATATTTCTTATGTTCATATGCAATACTGAAAGACACCAAAATATTTAGTTTAATAAATTGAAGGCCTCACGCTATAAATTCAAACAGTGTTGATCCTAAGATCATTAACAAAAGCTCCAGTCTACAGTACAATAAATCTTGAATAGCAAAGGTTTCATAAACTTTGAATGCTCAAAATAAGGATTCTCAGTCACCACCAAAGAAACAATGATTGGATGTATGGCACGTCTCGTGTTTTTATTTCTATGATTCAAAATAAATTAAAGCCTTAACTAATAAATTTCACCAGCTGAACTACATTATCTTTCACATCAGAAAAAGCGAAGCAAAAACTTTGATAACTGTTTCTTAACGTTATAATTTAAATTGTCAATGGCATTCATTTAATCAGTAATTTTCAATTCAAATCCCTAGATTTGCACGCTAAGCATAGAAAGATATAGAAGTTGGTGGAACCTCGGAGAGAGTTGAAGCGAGAGATGAGATCGGGAGGGAATTGAGCTGAATCGGAAAAGAATTGTCTGAGGCGAATGGCCTGATCGTCTCTGCCATCTTCAAGAAGCTCTTGTAAAAGTCGAATGCGGTCACAGGTACTTCTCTCCAACAGGAAATTCACCACGCAATTGCACAGCGACGATCTCTCTATATCCATTCTTCAGTCACTGGTAATGGCGCTCATACACCATTCCAATCAAATCGAAATGAAACTTTCTTTGTTGATCCAAAGCAAAATTTTATTTAAAAATTTCAGGGACCGAATTGGCCTGCCTTTCCCGTTTTGAGTCGTTGAGAGAAATGAAGCGCTGATTCGGTGTTACCATTACTACCAACCACAGTAGTAGATTTAGAAGCGTCACATATATAAAATACTAAATTATTTTTTAATAATTTCATAAATTACACAGATTTATTCGAAGCTTTTAACTCCTTGTAAATAGTTCACTTTTAAATCCTGAATTTTATCACATCCACAATATAAGCTAAATTATCAGTATGGAATATGTAAAATTCCTTAAATTATCTTAAATTGCTAATAAAGATATAATCAAATAAAAAATTCTCCAAGCTACAATGACAACAAAAATCTCATTATTATTAAATTTTTTGTATAATATAAACAATATATAATTATTTATGAATTTTAAATTTTAATAATTAATATAATGATTAATAATAAAAAATTTTTATTATTTCTAAAATATTAGAAAAAATTGATTATTTAATTAAATCTCGAAGTTGAAAAAAAAAAAAAACCTTTAAATATGCACTTTAAATGTAAATATGTATTATAAAATCTGAGCCTGGGATTTGTAAAACAGATATGTCTTAAGTAATATAATTTTCATTCGCCACATATTCTGTTATATTAATTTATAACTTGAATATAATCACAACATTTAACACCAGTGAGGGTATAGAGAGCAGAACATAAGTGAAAAATACTCAAAAGGATAACAGAAGAATAAACTATGTAACACATGTAAGCTTCACTGAACTTCTTTGATTGAAAAAAAAAAAAAAAAAAAATTAGAACAGTTTAGGAGAGTAAGCTTTACCAACATGAAAAATTTGCCATTAAAAACACTATCTAAAGATACAAATGGGAAAAGCAACAAAAACAATTGCAGACTGTAAACAATCAGACATTTTAAAATAAAACAAAAAAAACAAAATCTGAAGATGTAGGAGGAAAAAGAAAAATGTAGTTTGTAAAAAGTTTTTTATTAATATGAAACAGAAAATTCAGAACTGCAATTTGATGAATTAGATTTCTTTAATCTAATTTTAGGACAGCTGACTTTCACATGAACAAATTAAAATAAGAGTAATGCTATCGGTACTAACGGATTTTACTAACCAGTGTACTAACTTAAAGCATAGTACGGGTACCATAAGCATAGTACGGATATTATATGTGATTTTAACAAAGGTTAGTACACTGGTTAGTAAAATCCGTTAATACCCAAAGTATTATTCTTAAAATAACCATCAGAACTAGCTATGTTGAAAATATAATTGATAAGCTGTAAACCTGCAGCATCCAAAGCCCGGATTGATTCACAGAAAGCGTTAGCTCTCTCACGGCGACGCATGACATCACTTGAAGAAGTTGGCATTGCTGAAAGATGGAAAATCTTGGACAACAAATGTATATCAAGCTAAGGAAATAGCAGTTTAAACTGATGGCCTAGACACCAGGAACCCAACAAGACTAGAAACAATATATATATATATATTCTAAAAAATAACAATAATAAAAATAAAAAAAACCAAAAAAAAACATAAAAACTAAACTAAAGCAAGAACACATCTCATTTAGGATATAATCTCTGAGTCTATCAGTTGCATGTGGTACTGCCACCACCAATGAACGGACCACAGCAACAGTTGCTTCATGGGATCCATCTTCAAGAAAAGCATCCATTTGAACTCGTATCTTATCAACAATCTACAATATGCAATTTATTAGGACAGTGTAAGGAGACTGCAGCATTAAGATTTAAAACATGAAGTCAAAACCAAAAAAATTCATACCATGTCATTTTTAAAATGTTGTGCCACAGCTCCAAATGCATCTATGCTTGCATACTTCACATTCAGGTTTTGGTCAGACCCAAGAGTAACCAATGCAGGAAGAACATGAGTAGAAGCAACTTTTGCATCAATATATGGTACCTAAAGGATAAATTAAGTCAAAATAGTTTCAAAAATTCATGTTAGGGGTAACTGGCAATGACACATCATAGAAGTGTAACTTACAATGACTTTCAACAGATTGGCAGCATTGATTTTCATATCCAAGTTGGAGCTGACAACCATTTCCCATAAAATATTAAATACCATACCATGATATTCCTCAAATGTGCTGCATTATAGAATATATCAATAAGTTAGAGAATAAATAGAAAATAATTAATACTTAAAGATGTTCATCACTAAACAAACCAGAGGAAGCGGACAGCATTAACAGTCTCAGCACTGAGCTTCACTGAATGGTTCTCTTTCATGGTGCCTTCAACTAACAGCTTTCTTAAGTAGTCTGCTAATTGTTCATGTTTGCTGGGAGAACCTAAAACACCAGCCAAGACAAGTGGAAGTACACACATAGTAGCAAGTTTCTCAGCCACAGCAGTTTTCGGTTTCAGACCTGCAATCAAATAACAATTAGAGAACATACCATGTCTGAAACGAAAAAATAAAGAATCCATTACCTTTGATTCTTGAATGAATGGTTGAAGGAAAATATGTCAAATCGGCATTATCACCGACTGCTACCAAGAATACAGGCAGCATGATGTGTGTTAGGTAAGAATCCCCAAATTGTTCAGAAACAGCCAGCAAAAACTGCAACATCATTCTCTAGGTTAGCAATTAATGGAAGAACAATTCTCAACCACAAAGAACAAAATGAAGACAAGCAGCACAAAGAAAAAAGCACAATTAGACAGAAATACCTTAGTAACTCGGTTTCTCAAATTATCTTCTTTCTGAGGTAACATGCAGACCAGCTGTATCAAATCAGGAAAGCAGTTGGTATGCATCCATTCAAATGTTGGCCAGTCGACATGTCCCCTAGCCAGATATAAGAATCTCTCAGAGAGGAATTCAATGTTGTAGTTCTTTTCAAAAGATCAAATGATTTTTCCTCCAGGAAAATGAACAAAATAATTAGAAGAATTAAATAGAAAGCAGAGCTTACCCTGCATACAATTCAAGCAAGGAACTAGGAAAAGCTCCCTTTGACACTGAAGCAGACGAAAATGGACAAGTCTCAATTGCATTCTGCTGCACAAAAGGAAGCAATTCTACTAGCATTCTCAGTAGAACTTCAATATTCCAGCGCTCTCTTTCACCTAAAACACGCAGCTGTGACTCCATAGACCCTTCTACCCCAGAAAGAGGCGGACAACGCTGAAAATATTTGAAGAGTAAAAACGTTAAAGAGGTTAAAGCATCACAAACCATGCGCGGAATCACAAGAGAGAAATCAATGGCAACAAACAAGATACCTGAGCAGAGCTCAAGATATAAGAAAGTAACACTCTCAAAATATGGTCAAATTTGTTTCCCCAGTTGATAACTGCAGGAAGTAGATCTTTAAGTGTAGTTTCTACCACCACTCCAGATGGATCGCAGACCAGTTGGAACATCAAATCCTCCACCTATCAACAAACAGAATTGAGATGTTGGAGAAGCTTTATATATGTATAATTATATTCTTTTACTTTTTTCTTCTAAGCCATCATATTAGGGTAAGGGGAAAAGGCTCCATTCCCTAGACCATGTGTCATCAACCTGTTCTAGAGCTTACATTGTAGCCAAACTGTCAAGTCAGAATTCTTCGCCATGATTGCCTCGAAGCATATTTAGTGAGGCTGACCTTGAAATATTTGTCCAAATTCGGAAAGAGTGGAAGCAGCAAGGCCAGATTACGAGCAGCAGCCTCTCGGACAACAGTTGCTGAATCTTCTATCAGTTGTTGCACAATAGACAAAATAAGAGAATCACGAATCTCAGGCCGGACAAATTCTGCAAGCTCTCCACATGATTGTGCAACAAGCAACCGACGCTCTTCATACATGTGATTTATCTATGATTCATGAAAGAAGAAAATTGAAACCAAAAATTAAAAACATGAGATATATTAAGTAAACTAGAGGTCCCAGCAAATTCATGACCAGAACTCACCTGTTCCCAACACTGAGGAAGCAATTCCATTTCTGTTCTCATCTCTCCAACATTCTTAGCAAGGGTAACACAAGCCTGAAATGAAGCCAAATGAAGCAAGATTATGATCAACCTACAGAACTATGGGACCACATAAATGTAATACTTCAAGCATTAACCTACATCCATTATAATTTTTCTCTGCTTTTCATCTGGACGTTTGATCAAATTAAATAGTGTGTGGGTCAGGGAATCTCGTGTGCTGCCATCTGGATGGCGCTCAATTGCACACATTATCAGAGGAAGAAGCTCCTGTCGTTAATAAACAATATGAAAAGTAAATCTCAACCCAAAAAATGCCAGACAGATGCACTCATAAAAATAAATTGGTTCGTGGCAAACCTCCCGATGGTTTATCAGAACATACGGAACAATCTTGGGCAAGGCATCTGCTAGGATCTGAATAGTTCCTAAACCCTGTCAAAGTACAATAACATTTCAGCTATCATGTATCAAAGAAGTTTAGATTGAAAAAAAGTTTCAAGGTTTTTACAATGGCAGATGAAGATAGAATATTCCCAATTTTGATACAATTTCACAAACACTGCACCCCAGATTCCTTAATAAACAAAGAAAAAAGATAAAATTCCAAGGTGAAAGGATCTGATATCCTAAATATGGAGAATGAACTTGCCGTTTTGTCAGCTTCACCCCTAAGACTGCCTGATTTCGGATTGAGCCCACTGTCTTCTGGAGGTGGTTCATCATTCTGTTCGGGAATACTTTCACTGTTTTCTAAAGCATTATTTTCATTTGAAGGACTTGTAAATGCCTCCTGTGAAACTTCCTCAGGTTGTTTAATTGTGTTATCATCAAGGGCATGAGTAGCCAATGACTGAGCTTCTTCTTCACTGTTTACCACTTCAACCATACTAACTGGGTGAGAGATTACAATTTTATTTTGATCCACTTCAACTACTTTCTCTTCAGTCTGCATACACTCAGAATATACAGAGCCTACAGAGTCAGGAGCATTTGTACTTTTTGCCTTTAATCTTTCAATTTCCATCTGCAAAGCTTTTATCTCTTCCTTGTATTTTTCCAAGGACCGGGATTGGACAACATCAACATCCATAGCTACCACATTCTGTGAAGAACGGGATCCTTCAATATGCATTTTGAGTGCAGTGATTTCAGCTCTGCAATCATTAAGTTCCTTCCGTTGGTGCTCCAAAGTCTTCCTCAAATCTTGCACCTGCAAAAGTACATCAGTGCATATGCTTAATGAGTATTGAATAAAAAATGCTAGGAAGAGTATAATAAGAGTGAACTTACCAGTTTCTCCCTGTCCTTAAGATCCTTATGAAGCGCTTCTAATGATTTGGTTAAGGCACTGATTTGACCTTCGGAAACTTCTTTATTTTTCAGTAAGCTCTCCTTTTCTATATTTAAACTCTCATTCGCTTTTAGCAATGACTCATTTTCTCGAAGCATAGCAATTTTCTCCTGCAGCATAAGGAGCCATTATATATAGGGGCAATTTTATTATTCTTATTTTTTGGATAAGAAGCCGTTAACCTATATTAAAGAAGAGAGTGAGGTTGGTTCAATGGACTAGAAATCTACAAAGGAACTTGAAGAAGTTGGCATTGCTGAAAGATGGAAAATCTTGGACAACAAATGTATATCAAGCTAAGGAAATAGCAGTTTAAACTGATGGCCTAGACACCAGGAACCCAACAAGACTAGAAACAATATATATATATATATTCTAAAAAATAACAATAATAAAAATAAAAAAAACCAAAAAAAAACATAAAAACTAAACTAAAGCAACAACACATCTCATTTAGGATATAATCTCTGAGTCTATCAGTTGCATGTGGTACTGCCACCACCAATGAACGGACCACAGCAACAGTTGCTTCATGGGATCCATCTTCAAGAAAAGCATCCATTTGAACTCGTATCTTATCAACAATCTACAATATGCAATTTATTAGGACAGTGTAAGGAGACTGCAGCATTAAGATTTAAAACATGAAGTCAAAACCAAAAAAATTCATACCATGTCATTTTTAAAATGTTGTGCCACAGCTCCAAATGCATCTATGCTTGCATACTTCACATTCAGGTTTTGGTCAGACCCAAGAGTAACCAATGCAGGAAGAACATGAGTAGAAGCAACTTTTGCATCAATATATGGTACCTAAAGGATAAATTAAGTCAAAATAGTTTCAAAAATTCATGTTAGGGGTAACTGGCAATGACACATCATAGAAGTGTAACTTACAATGACTTTCAACAGATTGGCAGCATTGATTTTCATATCCAAGTTGGAGCTGACAACCATTTCCCATAAAATATTAAATACCATACCATGATATTCCTCAAATGTGCTGCATTATAGAATATATCAATAAGTTAGAGAATAAATAGAAAATAATTAATACTTAAAGATGTTCATCACTAAACAAACCAGAGGAAGCGGACAGCATTAACAGTCTCAGCACTGAGCTTCACTGAATGGTTCTCTTTCATGGTGCCTTCAACTAACAGCTTTCTTAAGTAGTCTGCTAATTGTTCATGTTTGCTGGGAGAACCTAAAACACCAGCCAAGACAAGTGGAAGTACACACATAGTAGCAAGTTTCTCAGCCACAGCAGTTTTCGGTTTCAGACCTGCAATCAAATAACAATTAGAGAACATACCATGTCTGAAACGAAAAAATAAAGAATCCATTACCTTTGATTCTTGAATGAATGGTTGAAGGAAAATATGTCAAATCGGCATTATCACCGACTGCTACCAAGAATACAGGCAGCATGATGTGTGTTAGGTAAGAATCCCCAAATTGTTCAGAAACAGCCAGCAAAAACTGCAACATCATTCTCTAGGTTAGCAATTAATGGAAGAACAATTCTCAACCACAAAGAACAAAATGAAGACAAGCAGCACAAAGAAAAAAGCACAATTAGACAGAAATACCTTAGTAACTCGGTTTCTCAAATTATCTTCTTTCTGAGGTAACATGCAGACCAGCTGTATCAAATCAGGAAAGCAGTTGGTATGCATCCATTCAAATGTTGGCCAGTCGACATGTCCCCTAGCCAGATATAAGAATCTCTCAGAGAGGAATTCAATGTTGTAGTTCTTTTCAAAAGATCAAATGATTTTTCCTCCAGGAAAATGAACAAAATAATTAGAAGAATTAAATAGAAAGCAGAGCTTACCCTGCATACAATTCAAGCAAGGAACTAGGAAAAGCTCCCTTTGACACTGAAGCAGACGAAAATGGACAAGTCTCAATTGCATTCTGCTGCACAAAAGGAAGCAATTCTACTAGCATTCTCAGTAGAACTTCAATATTCCAGCGCTCTCTTTCACCTAAAACACGCAGCTGTGACTCCATAGACCCTTCTACCCCAGAAAGAGGCGGACAACGCTGAAAATATTTGAAGAGTAAAAACGTTAAAGAGGTTAAAGCATCACAAACCATGCGCGGAATCACAAGAGAGAAATCAATGGCAACAAACAAGATACCTGAGCAGAGCTCAAGATATAAGAAAGTAACACTCTCAAAATATGGTCAAATTTGTTTCCCCAGTTGATAACTGCAGGAAGTAGATCTTTAAGTGTAGTTTCTACCACCACTCCAGATGGATCGCAGACCAGTTGGAACATCAAATCCTCCACCTATCAACAAACAGAATTGAGATGTTGGAGAAGCTTTATATATGTATAATTATATTCTTTTACTTTTTTCTTCTAAGCCATCATATTAGGGTAAGGGGAAAAGGCTCCATTCCCTAGACCATGTGTCATCAACCTGTTCTAGAGCTTACATTGTAGCCAAACTGTCAAGTCAGAATTCTTCGCCATGATTGCCTCGAAGCATATTTAGTGAGGCTGACCTTGAAATATTTGTCCAAATTCGGAAAGAGTGGAAGCAGCAAGGCCAGATTACGAGCAGCAGCCTCTCGGACAACAGTTGCTGAATCTTCTATCAGTTGTTGCACAATAGACAAAATAAGAGAATCACGAATCTCAGGCCGGACAAATTCTGCAAGCTCTCCACATGATTGTGCAACAAGCAACCGACGCTCTTCATACATGTGATTTATCTATGATTCATGAAAGAAGAAAATTGAAACCAAAAATTAAAAACATGAGATATATTAAGTAAACTAGAGGTCCCAGCAAATTCATGACCAGAACTCACCTGTTCCCAACACTGAGGAAGCAATTCCATTTCTGTTCTCATCTCTCCAACATTCTTAGCAAGGGTAACACAAGCCTGAAATGAAGCCAAATGAAGCAAGATTATGATCAACCTACAGAACTATGGGACCACATAAATGTAATACTTCAAGCATTAACCTACATCCATTATAATTTTTCTCTGCTTTTCATCTGGACGTTTGATCAAATTAAATAGTGTGTGGGTCAGGGAATCTCGTGTGCTGCCATCTGGATGGCGCTCAATTGCACACATTATCAGAGGAAGAAGCTCCTGTCGTTAATAAAAAATATGAAAAGTAAATCTCAACCCAAAAAATGCCAGACAGATGCACTAGTAAAAATAAATTGGTTCGTGGCAAACCTCCCGATGGTTTATCAGAACATATGGAACAATCTTGGGCAAGGCATCTGCTAGGATCTGAATAGTTCCTAAACCCTGTCAAAGTACAATAACATTTCAGCTATCATGTATCAAAGAAGTTTAGATTGAAAAAAAGTTTCAAGGTTTTTACAATGGCAGATGAAGATAGAATATTCCCAATTTTGATACAATTTCACAAACACTACACCCTGGATTCCTTAATAAACAAAGAAAAAAGATAAAATTCCAAGGTGAAAGGATCTGATATCCTAAATATGGAGAATGAACTTGCCGTTTTGTCAGCTTCACCCCTAAGACTGCCTGATTTCGGATTGAGCCCACTGTCTTCTGGAGGTGGTTCATCATTCTGTTCGGGAATACTTTCACTGTTTTCTAAAGCATTATTTTCATTTGAAGGACTTGTAAATGCCTCCTGTGAAACTTCCTCAGGTTGTTTAATTGTGTTATCATCAAGGGCATGAGTAGCCAATGACTGAGCTTCTTCTTCACTGTTTACCACTTCAACCATACTAACTGGGTGAGAGATTACAATTTTATTTTGATCCACTTCAACTACTTTCTCTTCAGTCTGCATAGACTCAGAATATACAGAGCCTACAGAGTCAGGAGCATTTGTACTTTTTGCCTTTAATCTTTCAATTTCCATCTGCAAAGCTTTTATCTCTTCCTTGTATTTTTCCAAGGACCGGGATTGGACAACATCAACATCCATAGCTACCACATTCTGTGAAGAACGGGATCCTTCAATATGCATTTTGAGTGCAGTGATTTCAGCTCTGCAATCATTAAGTTCCTTCCGTTGGTGCTCCAAAGTCTTCCTCAAATCTTGCACCTGCAAAAGTACATCAGTGCATATGCTTAATGAGTATTGAATAAAAAATGCTAGGAAGAGTATAATAAGAGTGAACTTACCAGTTTCTCCCTGTCCTTAAGATCCTTATGAAGCGCTTCTAATGATTTGGTTAAGGCACTGATTTGACCTTCGGAAACTTCTTTATTTTTCAGTAAGCTCTCCTTTTCTATATTTAAACTCTCATTCGCTTTTAGCAATGACTCATTTTCTCGAAGCATAGCAATTTTCTCCTGCAGCATAAGGAGCCATTATATATAGGGGCAATTTTATTATTCTTATTTTTTGGATAAGAAGCCGTTAACCTATATTAAAGAAGAGAGTGAGGTTCGTTCAATGGACTAGAAATCTACAAAGAGATTAAAAAAAATCCAAAAATTGGAACAATTCCCTACATGATAGAGACAAAAAAAAAATTCTATATATATACGGGCAATCTAACAAAAGCAGAAAATTTCACATCCCATGACACAGAAAAATTTTCATTTCCAGGGAATAATAATAATAATAGAGAAAATTATTGAATATCAATCATTCAAGACTACAATTCTTATGTACAAAATGGTAACATACTGACGTGACAAAAAACATATGACATAAATCAGTGTTCAAAGTATCAATTGCCATGAGTTTTGAAGCATGACTGTATATTCAGCTTATTATCTGGTAAACCACAAGGGCAAGCTTCACTAATAAAGTAATTTCGATTTTAAGAATGATTGCTACCCATATTTTAAGGTTTTTGAGTGTTGACCAAGAAGTAACTAACTTGAAAGATCAATGCCAATTGATAACATCTAAGTTGATGGGAATGTTGTGTCAGTTTGATCAAGTATTAGAAGAGACATAAGTTGGAACACTACTTCAAAAAATTGAGAAGAACATTTTTCTCTAATTATAATACACAAGTTGGCAAAAATCTTGTAATGATAAACACATACATTCCAATGCATTTCTCTACGAGAGAAATGTAAAAATATGTTAAATGTTCTCTTTAATCTTCAACAATCAAGATAATATAAAATAATCAAACTTAAACATCAGCAAGCTCCAATTACAATCAACACCACAAAAGAATCCTTATTAGCTTAAAGGTTAAAATCATCGATTATATTGTCCAACTCTTGTAGACTAATATAGTTACAAATAAATAGAAATTTTACGGGCTATGACAATTCTTTGGGATCAAGAGCAGCTAACTAGATTCTGCAAGGACAACAAATTTGTCTAATGTGAATCATCAATTAAGTACTGATGCAGACAATAGAACTTCTAAATCAGAATCACAAATATTGGCATAGTTCATGATAGTTAACCCCATTTGCTCTTCACATCTTGGACTCCACTTAAGAAGAAACGGAACATAAAGATAATACATATCAAGAGGAAGAAAGAAAACACAGGGCATACAATGAGCTGTTTGTATTACTCCCAGTAGACCAAAAGAAATGCACATTTTCTATAACTTTTGAACATCATCTCCAAATAAACATAAAAAGCAACTAGCCTACTCAACTTGTGTCTTAAAATATACCTCAGCAGCTGCTGAAGTGGATGAAAGATACTGATAATAATAATGTCGTAAGGCATCTGGTACACATGCAGGTGTATTCTCCCAAACATCTAAGTTTTGGTCTGTAACCTGAAATAAGATTGACAAGTTAGGATCATGTTTAAAATAAGCTACTCAAATGAAGTGACAGACACACACATTCACCTACTTTTAAAGTTTTATACCTCTTAATGTCCACATTTTAATAAAGGTCAAAAACTAAATGCATAAGAAATTTTCAACGAACTCCCCTAAGGTCATTGAATTGTTTACATAACAACCACAAGTTTTGAAGATAAACATGGACCCTCCTTCCCAATTGTTCACTGACTTCCCTTTGACCAACGATGTGTCATTTTTACCTTTATGGAGAATAAATAAAAAAAATAACAATGAATTTTGACCAATAATAATCAAGTCAAAAGGGGGTCAATGAACAACTTGCATACTCAAGGGAGGTCTTTGTCCATTCTCATAACTTATGGTAACTAGGTAAACAACCAGAAAACCTCACGGGAGGTCAATGAAATCTTCCCTAAATAATAGTTTTCAAATACACCTCTCACAAACAAAATTAAAAATTAAAAAGGAAATTGAAAGGAAGAAAGCAAAAGAAAGTGAAATATACATTGAAATTTAACATACTTCTTCATAAAAAGTCATTGTTGTAAGCCGGTACCCGGCTAAAAGTAAATATTCCTTTACAGCACAATTAAGATCTCTACGTTCATTATCCTTCAAGGGGCCCAAATCAGATAAAGAAGCATCCCTCTTCTTCCGTTGAAACTCAGTTCCATGGTTTACATTGTTATCAGCATCTGACTCTGCAAATGCATTTAATATTGAAAGGAATTCACAAAAAGCTAAAGCATAGAGCTAGCTAACAAAGAAGCGTAATAAGTATAAGCTAAATCCAAAGGAGGACCATTATTTAAAGATGCATCATTTGTTATAAATAAGGACAGAAACATTGATATCATTCTTCAGCTGCTATGCACAACTTAGCCTGAAGGTTGTGTAACTAAATTCTGATATAAGACCCAGACAAAACTGCATGAGTGTTAATTTTTTCCTCTAAATGATGAAGAAAAGGAAGTGTCATTATTTTGCACACAAACTCCTTAATGTGCAGGTATATAATTTTTGGCAAATATCTTTAGCACTAGATTGTTTCATTGATTCCAAAACTATAAGACATGAATGTTTTCAACAAGTGAAGTGACCATGCAGGATGATCCACAGTTAACCGGATAATAATGAATGCATGCAGAAAATGTGTTAGGTGTCATTCAAAAGGGAAAAATATAAATTTCACAGTTCTGAATACCAAAGCCCAAATAGAAAAAATACCGTTTAAGTTATCCTGCGGTAAATCAGTCTTCTTGTTTAAATCAGTCTTTAATTTTATAATGTCCTCTTGCGCTAAACGGAGTTCATAATCACTAATTGCTAATTTCTCTTCTAGAGCTAATTTCTCTTCCAGTAAACTCTGAGGATCTGCAACTGCAATTCAAAATAAAACAGGTAGACCAAAGCATCAAATTTGAATTCTGAATCACAATTCATTTGCAAAATTAAAGTCAAATACCAAATTGTAATTGACGCAATGAAAAAACAGTCGACTAAAATGAAAAGCAAGGAAGGTTTAGAAGCATAACAAATTAGAATCACCAAGTCTTAATCATTTATTCCCCAAAATAAGGCATGAAACTATAATCAAGCTCTTCCAACGATGATAATGTCACCAATCACTGAGAAAATGGTGCTCTACAGGTGAGAAGACAGACCATTAGGGAATTTTTTATTCTGAATTGAGTCTTAGGCTCTTTTTGGCTCTTTGGAAAAACTAATCCTCTCAAAATTAAGTCAGAACGTTCCCTCTCAAGCATAGATGTTTAAGCACATCATATGAAAAGCTAAGCAGTTTGTTAGACTATCCCCTATCTCTAGCATTTGCTTCATTTTTTTTTTTTTTTTAATGGGCAATGCTTTCCAGAAAATATTTTAGCAGAATATCAACAGTGTTCATCATCTGATGCCATAAAGGCATCCATGTTATAAGAATTCATGTACTTGTCTGACAAAGTTCATTCAACAGTTTGTATCAAAAATATTTGGTTGTTGATTACTGAATATCCACCAAAAAAAAAAAAAAAAAAAAAGGCTCTACACTCCATCACAGACATTTTAACTGCATTATTAGTGAATGCCATGTTATTCTTCCTTCTGCACAGCTACTACTACTTTCTCTATGAAAAAATAAAATTAAATAAACCCTCAAAGAAAGGAGTTGAATTTTCCAAAACCATTTTACTACATTATTCATGTTGCCACCTCTAGTGATAAACATATTTCTTATGCTCATATGCAATACTGAAAGACACCAAAATATTTAGTTTAAATTGACTGAATAATGAAGGCCTCACGCTATAAATTCAAACAGTGTTGATCCTAAGAATCATTAACTAAAAGCTCCAGATCTACAGTACAATAAATCTTGAATAGCAAAGGTTTCATAAACTTTGAATGCTCAAAATAAGGATTTCTTAGTCACCACCAAAGAAACAATGATTTGGATGTTATGGCACGTCTCGTGTTTTTAATTTCTATGATTCAAAATAAATTAAAGCCTTAACTAATAAATTTCACCAGCTGAACTACATTATCTTTCACATCACGAAAAAGCGAAGCAAAAACTTCTGATAACTGTTTCTTAACGTTATAATTTTAAATTGTCAATGGCATTCATTTAATCAGTAATTTTCAATTCAAATCCCTAGATTTGCACGGCTAAGCATAGAAAGATATAGAAGTTGGTGGAACCTCGGAGAGAGTTGAAGCGAGAGATGAGATCGGGAGGGAATTGAGCTGAATCGGAAAAGAATTGTCTGAGGCGAATGGCCTGATCGTCTCTGCCATCTTCAAGAAGCTCTTGTAAAAGCTCGAATGCGGTCAATAGGTACTTCTCCTCCAACAGGAAATTCACCACGCAATTGCACAGCGACGATCTCTCTATATCCATTCTTCAGTCACTGGTAATGGCGCTCAACTACATTCCAATCAAATCGAAATGAAACTTTCTTTGTTAGATCCAAAGCAAAATTTTCCAACAAAATTTTATTTAAAAATTTCAGGGAACGAATTGGCCTGCCTTTCCCGTTTTGAGTCGTTGAGAGAAATGAAGCGCTGATTCGGTGTTACCAGTACTACCAAGTACCAACACAGTATGTAGATTTTAGAAGCGTCAAGACTCAATAGCATATATAAAAATACTAAATTATTTTTTAATAATTTCATAAATTACACAGATTTATTCGAAGCTTTTAAGCTCCTTGTAAATAGTTCACTTGTTAAATCCCTGAATTTTATCACAATCCACAATATAAGCTAAATTATCAGTATGGAATATGTAGAAATTCCTTAAATTATCTTAAATTGCTAATATAAGATATAATCAAATAAAAAAATTCTCCTAAGGCTACAATGACAACAAAAATCTCATTATTATTAAATTTTTTGTATTAATATAAACAATATATAATTAATATGATAATTATTTATGAATTTTAAATTTTAAATAATAGATTAATAAATTTATTAATAATAAAATAATTTTATTATTTCTAAAATATTAGAAAAAAAAATTGATTATTTAATTAAATCTCGAAGTTGAAAAAAAAAACCCTTTAAAATATGCACTTTAATTTAATTCACATCGATGTAAATACTATTATAAAAATCTGAGCATGGGAATTTGTAGCACCGTCAAAAAGTCAACGGTTTGCTTTATAAACTATTGAGCTGTTGTACTTTCTGGCACCAAGACAACATGTGAGTTGTGACCATGCCATGGCAATAAATTTAATAACTGTATTTGTATTTTTCTTTTGTGTTTATATTTGATCTAAAGTGGACTAAAAAAAAAAAAAAAAGAAAAGAAGAAAAAGAAGAAAAAGAGATTCATTATTAAAATTAGTTTTATTCACCTTTTCATCATCATATTTTCATTCTTTTGAAGGAAAAAGATTACTAAATCTCCTAACTTTATCATAAAAGGTTGTACGGTCAAATTGGATGTTTGAAGATGTTTCAATAATTTGGTAAATGAGACTAGTAAATATAACCAAAGATCTTAGGCTTATTTTAAAGTTAATTTTGGGGTAGATTTGGTAAAGCCTTTTTTTGATAGAGTTTATGAAGGTAGACCTTATAAGACTAAAGTTTATATGAAAATTTATTAATTGTTTGGTTCAAAGAATTTTATAATCTTAAATTACAATATATATAGATATTGTAATTTAAGATTATAAAATTCTATTAAATTACTAAATTGCCCTCTTTTAAAACATTAATATAATATTATTTTTATTATTAATTTTTGAATTATTTTTTAACCCCTAATATTTAAGATTTAGCTAAAACACCCCTGCTTATATAAAACTTTAATTTATGACAAAATCACCCCTACCCCCTGCCTCCATTGTCGCTATCGCCACTGCAAACCACTGCTAGAAGTCATCGTAAGTAGGTCACCATGACCACAGGGCTTCGATATGGTCGTTTTTTGCCATATTGATGGCTAAGAACGGCCATATCAGGCCAGATCTAGTCGTAAACGGTCAGATCCTTGGTCATTATCGGCTAGATCTATTCTGGCCATAATAGATTTGGCCATTAACGACCATGGACTTGGCTGTTAACAGCTAGATCTATTCCGACCATGATAGATCTAGCTGTTAACGGTCAGATCTCGCCTAGATCTTGCCGCTAATAGCCAAAGATTTAGTCGTTAACGGCAAAATCCATTGATTTGGCCAAAAATGGCCAAAATAGATTTGGCCATTTTCGACCAGATCTGGCCTAATATGGCCATTTTCGGCCATCAATATGGCCGAAAACGGCCATAGCGAAGCCTCCCTATGAATCTCGGTCATTTTTAGGGACTCCGACGACTTTTTGGGGGCGATCCGTGGTGGTTGGCCCGCTGTCGGCGATGAAGGCTGGGTGGCGGTGGTAGTTTGTAATTTGTTTTAAATATAAATGCATTATTGTCCAAAAAACTAAACAAGGGTAAAATTGAAATGGTATATTAATGTAAATTTATTTTAAAATAGGGGTATGATTGTCCAAAATTTTTATTAATAAGGGATATAATTGTAACAAAAATAAGATTACATTGGTAATCTTACCTCTAATATTACCAACAGTAACAACTATTGGTAATACAAGATTACCAGAATCTTATATTACTTGACAACCAAACATAGTAATCAAGTAATATAAGATTACATAACCTAGTAATCTTTCATTACCTTGAACCAGGGTTATTATATTGAAAATGAAGGTGAAATTGTTTTTTTTTTTTTCTAAAATAACGTGATATATGTTTGATATTTGAAAATTAAAAAAAAAAATATTAATTAAATATCAATTTTTTGTTTTGTTTTTTTATTTATGTAAAATAACATTTCATTATCAATAAACTTTTCTAGGGTTGCAATCTACCCACAAAAAAAAAAAAAAAAATGAAAATAATTTAAAATAACTATTCAAAATATGGTAAAATATTTTAATTATTAACCCTTATTTTATTGGGCTAATATTAGGGATACCAATCGACTTCAAAATAATATTATTAAACAAAAATCTCAAATTTTGGAATTCATTATCATTTATCAATTTAACATGTTGAAGTGAAATTAATAATTCATGAGATAATTGTTTATTTCAAAATCATAATAACAAAAAAAATTAAATTTTAAACACATAAAAAAAAATATATTAAAGCTAATTGTGCTTTCATGTTGCTAAGGGTACCAAATTTCTTCTTATTGATTTATCAACAACACTACGCGTACGCTCTCTCTTACAAAGAGAGAGCGTACGCGGCGTGCCACATCAGTGACATGTGGCATGTGGACCACAGTTCTATATCCCCAAATTTTTTAAAAATATATATATATAATTTCAAACTCAAACTTCCCAGTTCCCACATTGCGCGACCTCAATCAAATTCCCTTCCCTAATTTCATCTTCATCTCAAATCAAATTTTACAATTCCTACCTCATCAACCTTTCCATTAATTTATGAAATTCTAATTTTTTTCCCAAAAAGCCACCCCTCAACAGAAGATCCTATTGATTTGGTTGAGGCGAAGCAACAAAAAAGAGTTGCATCTGTTAAAGACCCATCACCAGCGGCGAGACTAGTGCCAGCATCCTTGCCTATTCCAACATCTCTTAGCATTGATCGAGTAGCGGCTTCACTTAACAAACAATACCAATAGCCAGCCATTGATCTTGTCGATCCACCCGCATTAGTGGCAAAGGAAGAAGCTTTAAGGGCAAAAAAGAGGATATACATAACTATTTTTACTGAATTCACTCGGGATAACCACCATGTGACCACCACTCTTAACTGCTCCTACCGCGTGACTACCACTCTCAACGGCTCCTACCGCCGCCACATACCGCCAGAGCTCAATCACCACAGCCACTGCCACTGCCACTGTTTGTATGTGTACCTTAACTGTTTTCACTTTCACTAATAAACTCAATCCCAAAACCCATAAGTTCTTGTACATATCTCAATCTTCATTTTTAATTCATTTTTAAATAACCAAAGTCATTACTCATTGCAGAATTGGGTCGTGAAAAAAATGAAGTTTTGGACTCATATTTTGAGAAAGTTAAGATTTTGATGAAAGGGGGAATCGTTTTAGGGGCGCTTGTTTGTGGGGTTTTGGTGTTTGGTTGCAAGAGAGTTTTTGTTGTGGAAAGTGTAGTAAATGCAGGGTATGGAGGTTGATTTCATTGAATTTAAATTTGCATATTGGTTGGATTTTGTGAAAATGGTTGGATTTGGTGAAAATGCAGAATTTTTTGGTGCAGCTGTTGCAGCTACATTGTTGCACTATAGGCATATTCCAGAAGTGTTTTTGGTGCAGCGTTTGTGTGCTAGAAGTGATGGCTGGACCTGTTTTTGTGTATTTGAAGAGGTATATCCGGGTGTTTGAGGAGTCAAGCTGCATTTTGACATTGTTTTTGTGCATTTGAAGAGGTATATTCGGGCATTTAAGGAGTCAAGTTGCATTCTGACAGTGTTTTTTTCTTTTGTTTTTGTTTATTTTTGGTCAATTGTTCATGGTAGTTGAAAACTGAACTAGGTCGGCTCAAGCAAGAAGAAAGTCTGATGTCTGACCTTGTGCATTATTGTTCGAATATGATGTATGTTGAAGATGGTGTTGAGCAATATAAAGTAGTCGAGTGAATCCATGTGCAAGTTGTTTGTGTACTCTATTTGTTTGATGCCTTATTGGATGTAATCTGTAGAGTTTTATTGTAGTAGTTTTATGAGAGCTTTTGGTTAATGCAAGGATTTGTAAACTTACCCAATTTTGGGAGGAAAAGAAATAAAGAAATACACAAAATGCATTGTTTTGATTGCAATGTTTTATGTTACATGTACAAGATGCTTGCTTGTGTAAATGATACTTCAGGGAAATGGAACAGCTCTTCAGAGAGGGACATTAAACACAAAATCACATAATGCAAGATTGAAATGCAAAAAGAAACAACATCCATCAAGGATATACATCCTTATACACAAAAGCAACACAAACACAAGACAACCAAACTCTACAATCTTGAGAGCCTTTACAAAAAAAACCAGCAAGGAAAACAAGACACACCCTAACTTGCCCAGTTATCCCACAAACAGCAAAAAAATACACAAAAAAAAAAAAAAAAAAAAAAAAAAAAACAACTTCACTACCAACAAAGGAAAAGGATGCAGCACAACAAAAGCTGGTGCTACCATTCCAACCTACCCAACCAACACCCAACAAGCAGAACATTACACTACACACTACAAAAACTGCAAATGCACAACCTGCACCACTAGCCCACTAAACATTGCACAAACTGCACTTGCAGCCCATTCGTCCTCTTTTTATAGGGGACAAAAACCATCAATCTGCACTTATATAATCAAGACATATATAAAGAAGACAATGCAATATTAAAATCAAGAAATTAGGCACCAACTGTTCAATAGTAGATTTACATAAACAATCAACTCAACTCAACATTATAATATGCAAATTTAAATTCAATGATATTTGAAATTTCAATGACTATTCAATAGCCAAAAGGATATACACCTGGTAATTTTATAGAGAATAAAAGATACAAAGTAAGAAATGAGAATTCCCCAAAGGAACCAAGTTCTTAGGACATGCACAAGAGACTAAGCTATACAAAAAAACCAAGAGCAACAAAAGGATTTACACCCTTTATACACAAAAACCTATACACAACCAGCAAAAACACCCGTGAAAACACCAAAAATCGGCTTCTTGCGGCTGATCAAAAAGTGCACAAGCTGCTGAGATGCAACACCCACTATACAGATTGCTAAGACACAAAACCAGGTTTGCCAAAGCTCACATTAGCAGCCAGCAACCAACCCAAAATCACCTGCAGCACACCTAGCTATGCACTTGGAAGTAGTTGGCTGCTCTTGCAACCAACACACCAAAAATGAGAAACAATGCCCGAGCTCTCCCCAAACCACAAACAACATTGCAACTAGACTACAAGTACACTTGAGAAGAGTCGACGTCCTAGTCTCCTGCAACATATATGTTGAAATCGTGATATTTCTCAATAAATAGAATAAAAATAATGAAATAGTCAACAAAATAAATAATTACTAAGTTTTTACCTTCATGCTTTATCCTCTTTTTCTTGCTTTTGCAATTTCTTCTTTTTTAATTTACGAACAATTTGTTCAAGGCTTGATTGCTTTCTTTTGAATGGAGGACGACATTTGTTACGAATAGCCCGTGGATTAAGAATATTACTACTCCCCTCTTTCGAAGTACCACCAACACTTTCACAATTCATTCTACTATGAGATGACAAATTTTCTCTTCTATCATTACCACCAACACTTTCAGTCGACATCAATTTGTTGTTAAGATCATTAATCATGTTCATCACCATATTACAATCATCCTCATTAGTAGATACCAAGTCTGCTACAGTAGAAAATAAATTAGACAACTTATCAAATCGTTGTCCTTTAATATTGGTACTCCAACTATTATAACTTATCTTAACCTTTGTATGATTTCTACTTATATTTTTCTTCCATCGTCTTAAAATGTACTTCTTAGGCATATGAGAAATTCTCTTATGAATCAACAACGTAATTGCATGTCAACATAAAATTCCCCTAAACTCAAACAATCGACAATTGCAACGAACATCAGAACTTGCTCCATCAAAGCAAACCACAAAAGGAACAAGACGGTGAGTCTCTCCAACTAGAACATCTTCTTCTATTATAAATTCCACATATGAATCAACCTCTTTAGAAGAAGATATTTGACAATAAAGCTTACAGCAAGTTCTTGTTGGAACTCCTTGAATTTGGCAATGGTATATGCATCTTGAAATTGTTTCTCAATAGCATATGTGCTTATGCAAGGAATCCATGATTTTAAAGATTTAAAATTAGCCTCATTTTCTTTCTCCACTTTATCACGCAATGCATTATCATATTGTTCCACAAATTGTTTTAATGTGGTTTTTGAATTAACATATCCATCAAAGAATGCATGCATACTTTCACTATATTGGGTAGTAGACATACCTGCCCAAAAAGTATCTTTCACAAATGTCGACACCCAACGTCGTCGTTCATTATACAACCCAAGTAACCGTTCATTAGCCTGGAGGTTGTGTTTGTCAATGAAACAATTCCAGCGTGCTTCAAACTCTTCACGTGTCAATGAATCATACACAATATTTTGCAAAGAAAACTTGATAGATTCATATTGGCTATAACCTCTTAACTTTTCAGACAATTTCTTCATTATATGCCACAAACACCATCTATGTCATGTACTAGGAAACACAATTTCGATTGCTTTTTGCATTGCCTTGTCTTGATAAGTGATTATTGCTTTTGGAGCACAATTCAACATACATGCAAGCCAAGATTGAAAAAGCCATACAAATGTCCCCGTGTCCTCATTGGAGATTAACCCACAACCTAATAGTGTTGAATGGCCATGATGATCAACACCAACAAAAACAGCAAAAGGCATATCATACTTGTTAGTCAAATACGTTGTGTCGAATGTCACAACGTCACCAAATTCTTTAAATGCGACTCTACTCCTTGCATCCGCCGATAGAACATTCTTTAATCGACCCTCTTCATCTAAATCCATTATATAGAAAAAATGAGAATTCTCATTTTGCATTTTCAAAAAATATTTTTGAATTGCATTAGCATCTCCACCACCAAGTCGTAACCTCCTAGCTTTTTCAATATAATTTCTACAATCTTTCTGTAAGAAAGGCAAATTCTCAACACCGCCTGCTTCAACTACCAAGGAATTGAAATTTTTATTTGGCCTAATCCCAGCCCTATCATTCACTTCAAGCTTCCTTTTCACGTACGGTTGTATTTTTCTATTGCTCTTGAAAAATCTACTTTTGACAGGACTATTGAGTTCATGGTTATGATCCAAGACAACTGAACATATTTGTCATTTCCCATCAGAACGTACAGAAGCACCGATTCGAGCTTTACAATCAGTTTTTGTCATTGGTTGCATTTTAAAGGCATTTCTACAAATGCTATTCCGCTTCCCATTACAAGAACAAGACAGTGTCACATATTTCAACTCTCCATCATCTCCTTTTCTTGAAGATCTTATGATGACCTCAAAACCCATTTTATTCCCATAGCCTTTGTAGTCTTGGAAAAGCATATCAAATGAATCAAAAATCATTCCAGGCTTAGGCTCTAGAAAGTCTTTTACAATTCTTGTATCTTCAATTTCTTGCTTATTATTATCCTAATAAATTGGTATTATGATAGACAAAATCAAAATATAATAATACTTAAAAATGGGAAGACATAATACCATTAAAAAAAATCTTAAACCATATAATACTGAATAAAAAGGGATTATAAAGTGAAAATTACCTCAACGACATTGATTTGAGAGGAAGAGTTCTCTGAATTTTTTTTACTGCACTCTTCCATCTTTGGTATTTTGATGTAAATAGAATACCCTAAATAAAAGGTACATTGTGTCAAACATTTGCTCCCTAATTAGCGCACATCGACATTCAATGATATATTACTAAAAGATAAATTCTGTCAAAAACATAATTCTATGTAAAACCTGATACAATTTTGCTTTAAGGAAAAAAGAATGGTCCTGAAACCAGTGGTCCTACTCCAACATAATTGATGCAATAGCCTGGATTGAATCACATAAAAGGGATTTCTTCTATAACTCCCTAACAAATACAACACATCTTTTTTATTTTCTTTTTACACTTTGAAATTTCCTTATATAGTAAACAAAAGCCCACTAACATATACACTATAAACTATCCAAATCGTCAAGTAATTTCAATGAAAGCAATGTCCTTGTAAAGCATAGCTCGTAATCTCAAATAATATTATGAATTCACAAATTTTGTAAGAAATTTCTAAATAAGTCATAGTTACAGATGAATCACAAATTCACAATTGACTCAAAAAGAAATAGAAAGTTAGGAGAAGAGTACAAAATTGAAGTGAAGTTACTAGGTAAACACAGAAAACATACCAGTTCAGCTTTAGGAGCAAAAACCATGAGAGTGTAGAATGGCAGCACAACTATTGTTCCTAGAGTAAAAACACTACTAGCTATAAAGATGTGGGGATGAAACATTAGTATATTGGTAATAACTTTAGAAAATTATGAGAAGGGTACAAAATTGAAGTGAAGTTACTAGATAAACATAGAAAACATACCAGTTTAGCTTTAGGAGCAAAAACCATGAGAATGTAGAATGGCAGCGCAACTTTTGTTCCCAGAGTGAAAACACTACTTGCTAAAAAGATGTGAGGACGAAACATCGAACATTAGTAACAAGTTCAAATCCTTTACAGCAAAGAACTTCGACAAACCAAGATTTGGTTGAAGTCCAAGATTCGAATTAGTTCAACACCTAGTTTGCTTCCTCCTTTGGTTCCTCTGAGGATCTCTTTGAAAGTTGGAGTATCTAAGGCCAAAAGTAAGTGAAAAGAGGAAGTGGAAGGCGGGTTGTTAGCTGGTTGCTAGTATCAAAGGTAAGGGGGTTCGACTCCTTCGTAATCAATATATCGTTTTTTTCAATTGAAAAATTAGGTTGCTAAATTGAATCAATGGAATCAATCTGTCGTTTCCTTTCCTCCCCCACCTATTGAACACAAAAACTAAGAGCTAACTAAGGGGCAAGGCCTTCCCTACCAGCTTCGAGTTCACCTTCTTTCACAGATTATGTCCTAATTAATATCTCTTAGTTTAGAATCCCGAGTAGGAACTCATGGGCATTCTTTCACAGATAAAGATTTGATTAGAGGAATTACAAATTTTGATGGTTAGAGTAAATCAAATTTGGGAGAGAATTTGATTTAGGATGAAGATGAAATTAGGGAGGGAATTTGGTTTAGGATTATCGCGGGAGTTTTGGTTTTGCAATTTTAATTTTTCTTTTTTTATTAAGAAGCATGGCCCACATACCACATGTCAGCCACGTTAGTGCGTACACTCTCTCTTTGTAAGAGAGAGCGTACGCATAGTGTTATTGTTGATTTATAGATGCACCGACGATTTAAGGGGTTTGATTACTTTTGGATCTTAAAGTGGATGGACGCAATTACCCTTAGTTTATGATCGGTGTTATGATTTTATTTTGTTTTTAATTACAAAAATTGCTAAATTTTTTGATAAGTTCATTAATATTATATTTAATCTATATTAATGTGATTTTGGGTTGTAGTAAAATTAAAGCCTACCATCTTGTTTTTGTAGATTATTTATAAAACTTATTATCACTTGAGGTTTGTATATAATGTATATAGTCAAGTTAGTAGTGTTAATTTCTAATAATAATGAGGTTTTAGGTAAAAGATAAATCTAATTATAAAATCAAGTGACTTATTAGTTAAATCCATAACGAAACAATTAAGGATATCGTTATTTTTGTATCCATGAATTCTTTTTTTTCTTTTTTTTTGTTACATTACTTTATTTCAAAATCTTAATAGACTTAATTTAAATATAAAACCATGTTATTTGGATGTCAAATTAGAGTACACACTTCAAAAAAATATAATATTAATCATAATTAAATTTAAAAAAAAATCACATGTTATGTTGTAGGGTTGTTAAAAAAAAAAAAAATGACTTATTTATACCACTAATATTGAAGTCCTCATATATAAAAGGATTTGTTATGTAATTAATTTCACAGAATTTATTTGATTTGATTATAGTTTTTCCAAATTCAAACTAACTTAATACAATTTTATTTGATTACATTTTTTTTCCAAAATTCAAACTAACTTATATAATTGTTAATTCAAATTATATCAAACTAAACCAATTTAATTTCCTTTAGTTTGGTGGGATTCATATTACTAGATTTAGCTAACACACGCTCCTTTAAGAATTAAAAAAATAAACATATAAAAAGATGATTTTATATTTTATAGTATCATTACATGTCCTATTGTTGTCAATTAATTTTTTTTTTTTAACAAAATTAATTTAATTTGCATAAAACAATACATCAGTTAAAACTTGTATGATATGAAAAATGGCTCCTTGGATAATATTTTTTATTAATGAATTTAATTTGAGATAATAATTTACAAGTATCTATAAATTCTAAAAATTTGAAAGGTGATAGAGTGGCTCATAAAATAACTATTTATAAATGAATATTCATTGAATTATGAAAATGATTTTTATATATATATATAAAATAAAACCTCGTTTGTTTAGTCTTTTTTAGTGAGTACTTGTTAGCATCAAAAATAAGAGCCTAACCTTCACATTTTTGACCTTTTCTTATCGAGTACTTGTTAGTTTCAAAAATGCGATTCTAAGTTCCTAACCCGCATTTTTTTTTTTACAAATTGTTGGGCTATTTTATTTATGTTTGTAAGAAAATTACTTTTTCACTATTCTTAAATTTAATCAATCTAATATCCAAAATCTGTGGATAATGTTGAAAGGTTAATACATATTTTTTTAAGGTTAAATTGATAAATTTGAAGGTTGAGTTGAAGACATTTTTTAAACCATTGGATACTCACTACAAAAAAAATAAAAATAAAAAAAATAAAATAAAAAGGGTTAAGTTGCACTTCCGAAATCCACCGGTGTTCACAAAGAGACCAAACACAGGCGGAGGTTTACTAAAAAACTTTTATTAAAAAAAAATCAAGAGATTAAAAACAGCAATTTCAAGTAAAAAAAAAAAAAAAAAAGGTAAATGGTTTTGGTGTTGCCGTTCTTGTGGATGAGCATCCAAACACGTAGCAGCTCGTTAGCCTTTGATATCCTTGACAATATTAGCTCTATTGTATCCTTCCAAAACATAGAAAATGCTAATAATTTTTCCATGATCCTGACAAAACAGTTGTTTTATACCTGGTTTGTCTTCACCATTCGGGTCTTTGATTTTTTCAGAACTCAATTAAACCAATATTTAAATTAATATAATTTTCTAATCCTATAGCTTTAGGTTTTATCACCATCTGTCAACATTTTATACCACCAAAATCTCTTCATTCATTGCCTGGTTGTCAACCTCATTTTCTTGATAAAATAATAATAATAGTTTATAAATATATCAAAATATGTGTAATTGCATGGATCCTGGTATTGCAAAGGTCCAAGAACTAGTGAAAAAATATTATGTATAAATTAAATTAAGCCGAAAATGGAATAATTTGATGGCTAGCGATACATCCAATATCAGCCAATCATCACAGCAGAGCTTACTCTTTCTTCTTCCTCTGCCGTTCTATCTTTTATTCTTTTCTTTTTTTTTATCTTGCCATTGAACTAAACGAACTCAACACAGTCTGTTAACTTACCTACACTTAAGTTAACACCATTCTCCATTTGTTCTCCTTTATAGAATTTCCCGGTATGTCTCTCAAACTGCTACTGCTTGCATGCATTTCATATGTTTTGACTTTTTCTTACTGTTTACCTGAGTGTTATGGAACAGGTTAAATATGGACAGAAGAGAGTTAGATGATAAAAGAAGAAACGGGTCAGTGAAAGCAGCAATTAATAAGTACGGAGGAAGGTTTCTTGATGGTACTTCTTCATTGAAGAAACCCCAGATGGACTCTCAAGAGGTATAATTAACTACAAAGTTTCTTTTTCAGTATGATCTATCTTTTTGCAGTTCTGTTGTTTTGGTTAATACGATCTATGTTTATCAATTTTAAGATGTCTTGTTCAAGAACAATAGAGCTCCACAAGGCGAGAAGAGATATTAGTAGGTACAGAGAGAGCAGAAGAGTGGCAGAGTCAGTGAAAGCTCAAGCTGAGTCCGAGCTATCTGTTGCAAGAAATACAGTTAAAGAACTGGCTTCGCGGATTGAGGATACAAATTCTGAGGCAGAAGCAAAGATGAAAGATGTTGATGAAACGCTAAAGAAGTCCGGTGGGAGTATTGATAGTTATCAGTATGCAGAAGTAATGAGAGAATTGGAGGCTGTGAAACAAGAAATGAGTAAACTGAAGCTTGATATGGCTTCTGTATTGGAAGAGAAATCGCGGGCGGAGAAGGAGATTGAGACTACAAGCTTGAAAATATGGTCTAATTCCAGTGTAGAAACATTTAGGAAGGAGATTGAACAAGTAAATGAAGAACAATTGTTGGTTGAGTTGGCGCGAATTGAGGCCTTAAAAGAATTTGGAGAGATTGAAGCTCAAAGAGAAAAAGAAGCCAATGAATTCTCATTTGCAATGGAGGAAACAAAGAGGAAAAAGAAAGAAATGGTTGAAGAGATTGATCAGTCTAAAGAGGTTGAAAACAAACTGGCTGTCACACTGCGTGATGTTAATATGTTACAAATTGAGCTAAAACATGTCAAAGGAATGGACAAAAGGGCCCAAAGAAATGACGCCTCGAAGATTACAGAAACCAATTTTCAAGAATTAGAAGGTTCGCCTTTGTTGAGGTCAATCACAGAAGAATTAGAGGAGGCAAAGAAAGAATTAGCTTCAGTAAGAGATGAGGGTTTTCAGTTCATGGCTTCAATGGATGTAATAAGGAATGAGCTGAAGCATGTGACTGAAGAAATGGCGCGGTTAGAGAAAGCAGAACACAAGTCGGATTTGATTGTTCAAAATCTCAATTCAAAGCTACTTAGAGCAAAATCTAAGTTGGAAGCTGTTTCTGCAGCTGAAGAAAAGGCTAAAGCAATTGCAACTAATCTCTCTCTCACTGCTGAACAGTTAAAGACTGAAGCTGAGGCCGCAAAGAAAGAGAAGGAGCTTATAATTCGGGAAACTGCAGCCATCAAAGAAGAAATTCAGAAAACTGAGTCTGAAATTGACTCAACTGAGGAAAAGTTGACGGCTGCAATGCAAGAGCTGGATGCAGTAAAGTCATCAGAAGCTTTAGCTCTTGAGAATCTTAAGTCTCTCATTGAGAACACGATGCAATCGAGAGCTTCTGCATCACAGAATAGTTCATCAATTACCATTTCGAAGTTCGAATATGAGTACTTGACTGGACATGCTGTTGGGGCTGCAGACCTTGCAGATAAGAAAGTGGCTGCAGCTCAGGCATGGATTGAAGCTTTGAAGGCCAGTGAAAAGGAAATACTGATGAAAATTGAAATGGCTCACAGGAAAATCCGAGAAACTAGAATGGATGAAGAGAAAGAGGTGTTTAGAACTGAGAGATCATTTTCAACAAAGAGAAAAGATGAGGGGGAAATAAGGAACTGGAGACAAAGGGAAGAAAAAACCCCAGAAACCGAGAACCTGCAGCCCAGATTGTCAAGAAAATCTATCAAAGCCAGTGGCAATTTAACACAATCAAGAAGAGCAAAGTATCAGAAATCTGCCTCCCCTGCAACTAGGATGCCACGATCAACTTCCTTCAATGTCAAGAGGAAAACAAAGGTGATGCCAAGTTTTGCCAAGTTATTTAGTGGCAAGAACATTGACTAGGCCGATCTCAAAGCTGCTTGAAGATCATTAGTGTATTCACAACTCATCTTTACAAGCTCCCTTGTGTGTTTAGTTACTGTAAATTGTTCTACATAGCAATGAGATTTTTAAGGGTTGATAAGATGATATTTATGTAATAACTGTTTGTCTTCCGAGTTCCATCAGTTCATACTTTCACATTTTGGGAAGTTGATGAAACTCTGGTTGAGTGTGTGAGGCATTCATGTACAATAATTGAGACTTTAAATTACATCTCATATAGTTAGCGGATGAGAATCTGAATCTGTTTATTAAGTCTTAAATTTCCTCAATTAAGTATCTGTGTGTTATACTTGATGTTACATTTTAATCTAAAATAATCACTATGGTTTTTTATATGTTGTGTTTTTGTCTAAGCATTTTTATGGGGTTCTTGCTTTATGTTGATGACATGTTAGGACAATATCTCAATTGTAGCTTTTCCTGCTCCACTCCAGGCTGTGTTTACAAAGTCAAACAGTTATGAGACTTGGTGTGATTTTCTTCATTTTATTATCCTAACATTCAAGTTTAGTCAAATTTGTGAATTTTATCAAAGTGAGGAGATCTTTATAGATGAATTCCTAGTGAGGGCCGAGTGACGTCGATAGGCCAATTTAAAACAATCATAATTTTTTATTTGTGAGGAATTACAAGACTCATAATATATCAATGAAAAGTTCATTTTGAGCCCATCTATATGGCAATCGAATATGCCGATTGGGGTTCGTTTTCGGGCCTAAAAACTACTGTTTTGGTATGTTTCGGGACCGTTTAAGTTTTCTATTTTTATTTAGGATTTCTTTTTTTAATTAATTTGGGTTTTATTTCTTTATTTATTGAAAGTCTTGTTAGGGTTAGCCGTCATCACTCTATATAAACATATTATTAGTTTTTAGAAATTATTCAGGTTTTACTTTAAGATCTAAGTTTGTATGATTGAGATTTGTTTATTACGTTTAAAGGTATAGTCGAGTGTTAGTCTTATTGTTACATTAACTCGATACATCACAAAGTTATGGAAGGTCTAAGAAAAATCTCTTTGTCAATCAAGAACTGAATTGAACGAAGATTTAATAATGACAGAGGAAGTCAACAATGTTTTTGGAATCCAATGATTCTGATAAATAAAAATCTTGTCTGCTCTAACATCAAAATTCAGCTCTAAGCAGAAGGGTAGTTGCAACTTCTTTCGTCTTTACATCAAACTGTCAAAACAAATCCATTTTATTTAATCTCTATCTGCCTTTATGGCCCTACTATATCCCCTACTCCTTTATAAGAAAGGAAGAGTTGGGCACCAAATTTTCATTAGTTGCTGACAAGTTAGTTTCTTTAAGGACTTCATTACCCAGTAAAAGTTTCAACTCCATTGCTAATCTTGTCATACGAATAAAAGGTTCTTCATATTTTACTCTCCAGAAACCCAATTGAGCACGTTTATTTTTTCAAAATACAGTTGAATAATCAAACAACTAAGATCAACCAAAAATCGAGTCCAAATTACTGCATTCAGATTCCAGTTGCAACGTATATGAATAATATATCATAAACTAAAGACCACGCCAAAGCCCACGTCCAAGTCCACGTCCACCCAACCACAAATACAATGTATTGGTTAGTCAATTTGTTAGTTATTGGTGTTGGACTATGGAAGCATTAGTTGTTGTCAAGCCGTCCCTACTCAACCATTTTCATTGCTCACTTACCGCCATCTTTAGGCACCAATCATTGCCTTAACTCACGCTATTTACAACAGAATTACAACCTCATCCTCATTATGTCAAGTATTGATATAGAAAAAGTATCGATTTTTTTGTTTTCAANCAGCTTCTTTCGTCTTTACATCAAACTGTCAAAACAAATCCATTTTATTTAATCTCTATCTGCCTTTATGGCCCTACTATATCCCCTACTCCTTTATAAGAAGGGAAGAGTTGGGCACCAAATTTTCATTAGTTGCTGACAAGTTAGTTTCTTTAAGGACTTCATTACCCAGTAAAAGTTTCAACTCCATTGCTAATCTTGTCATACGAATAAAAGGTTCTTCATATTTTACTCTCCAGAAACCCAATTGAGCACGTTTATTTTTTGAAAATACAGTTGAATAATCAAACAACTAAGAACAACCAAAAATCGAGTCCAAATTACTGCATTCAGATTCCAGTTGCAACGTATATGAATAATATATCATAAACTAAAGACCACGCCAAAGCCCACGTCCAAGTCCACGTCCACCCAACCACAAATACAATGTATTGGTTAGTCAATTTGTTAGTTATTGGTGTTGGACTATGGAAGCATTAGTTGTTGTCAAGCCGTCCCTACTCAACCATTTTCATTGCTCACTTACCGCCATCTTTACGCACCAATCATTGCCTTAACTCACGCTATTTACAACAGAATTACAACCTCATCCTCATTATGTCAAGTATTGATATAGAAAAAGTATCGATTTTTTTGTTTTCAATCTAACTTGCATGCATATCAATTAATCATCGAGATCTATTTAACACCCTACAAACTCAATGTTTTAGATAATCCACAAATGTGTTATTTGACTTGAATTTGGTTTGAACATAAGAAGTCAATTATATTAGTAAACCTTCTTGACCACCAGACCAACTCTGTTGGGCTCTCTATTTATAAGAATTGATATAGAAAAAAGAATCAAAATTTGATACCCTTAACATATAATATATAACTTAAAAGATTGTGTATCATTGACGAGTAACATTGAACCTAAGATTCATAATATAAAAGATGAATTTGTAACGTTTTTGTGATATGGGTAATACTGTTTTTGAAACTATATTAAGTTTAGAACAATTATCAAGTATGATGACTGTGTTTGCATATACTAAAACATGCCACATGCCAAATAATCAATAGCAAATACTGTCATTACATTAAAACTTGAGTTTGCGTTTAGAAAAAGGAAGCATGAAGTTATGTGTTTTAATTGAAGTGCTTAAATCCTTATGAAAAAGACTGGCTTATGGTTAATAAATTTCTATTTAATTTTGTCTGGAATCAGAAATGCAAAAAAGAAGCTTCTCAAGTGTCGCCAATCTCAACTCAAAGTGGCTTTGCACTTTGCATGAGCTGTGTTTGCCCAGTCAACACTTTGAACTGACTATAAACTCGTGAAATGCCAGGGAAGAGAAGCAGTGCAAGTTCATAAATCACACAGAATCCTCTTTGTTTCCTATTCAAATACCCGTAAAGATACGTCTGTCATTCCTGGCTTCCAGATTATGTCTGTCTGAGTTTGTCGAAGGCGATCTCTGAGAATCCTTTTTTTCCAGCTTTGAATTCACTTCAGTTACTCTTCACAGAAATGGTTTTGCCAATTGTTTTCTTGGCTTTCTTCCTATGCAATTGTCTTTCTTTTGTGGCTTCACTAAATGATGAAGGATTTGCTCTTCTCTCCTTCAAACAAGCAGTACAGAACTTCCCTGAAGGCTATTTAAACAGCTGGAAGAACTCGGATGATAGTCCGTGTGGATCATATAATTGGAAGGGAGTTACATGTAGAGAAGGAAAAGTCGTTGCTCTGAGCATTTCAAACCAGAATCTTTCAGGGCTTCTTCCACCTGGTCTGGGAAAGCTCTATTCTCTTCACCGTCTTAATCTCAGGAATAACAACTTCCATGGAAGTTTACCGTTTGAGCTCTTCAATGCATCAAGTTTACAAAGCTTGGTTCTTTCAGGAAATTCATTTTCTGGGCCTGTTCCGACTCAGATAGGGACTCTCACCAACCTACAAGTTTTAGATCTTTCACAAAATGCATTTAGTGGCTCAATACCTTCATCTCTAGTTCAGTGCAAGAGATTAAAAGCTTTAGTCCTTAATAACAACAGTTTGAATGGCTCTCTATCAGATGGTTTTGGAACCAATTTAACTACACTTCAAAAGCTCAACCTTTCCTTCAACAACTTGAGTGGTTTGATCCCCAACGACATAGGCCAATTTTCAAGCTTGAACGGTACTCTTGATTTGTCTCACAATCACTTCAGTGGTTCTGTTCCAGCAACTCTAGGATACCTTGGAGAGAAAGTGTTCGTAGATCTCAGCTATAACAATCTTAGCGGCCCCATACCCCAAGATTCTGCTGTATTGAGTTTAGGACCGAGCGCTTTCATAGGCAACCCATTGCTTTGCGGACCACCATTGAAAGTTTTATGTCCTCCAGGCGCTTTAGATCCATATTCTAAACCCAACCCTTCTGACCCTTCTAGTAAACCAAAGGAAGTCCATCATTCAAGTTCGTGTGCAGTGATTGCGGCTGTTTCCATAGCCACAATTGTAGGTATCTGCACCATTGGGTTGTTGCTCTATCACAAGTACAAAAATGCTTGTGCGTGCAAGTGGGGAGATGGTGTTGGCAGCAGCCCCTTCGAAGAAAAGTTGACGCTTAGACAGAAGATTTCCTGCTTTATCAAAAATGACTTGGAAACTTTATCAGAAGTTATGGAGCAGTACGAATTCGTGCCATTAGACTCGCAGGTTGATTTTGATCTTGAGCGACTTCTGATAGCATCAGCTTTTCTTCTCGGTAAGAGCAGAATCGGCATTGTGTATAAAGTTGTTATGAACAATGGGCCAACCGTGGCGGTGAGAAGATTGGGGCATGGAGGTTGGCAAAGGTTCAAGGAGTTCCAAACTGAAGTAGAAGCAATTGGAAAGATTAGGCATCCAAATATTGTCAGTCTCCGCGCTTATTTCTGGTCTTTTGAGGAGAAGCTTCTCATCTACGATTACATACCCAATGGTGATCTTGCCACCACACTTCATGGTAATTTTTTGCCTCTTTGAAGAAATAGCAAATTTTGATTCTTGTTCTTTGCCTTCCTAATGTTAATAAAGATCTTCATGATAGATCATTATCATACATGTTATTAGACTGACGTTTCTGATCCTTGATCAGGGAATGCTGGAATGTTACCTTACAGCCCTCTCTCTTGGCCTGTTGTCTGAGAATCATAAAGAATGCAGAGGCTTGGCTTTTCTACATGAATTCAGTCCCAGAAAGTATGTCCATGGAGATTTGAGGCCTAGCAATATCTGCTAGGACAGAACATGAGCCTCTTATCTCTGATTTTGGACTTTGCCGCCTAGCTATATAGCTGAGGAATCACAAGCAGCCCAATGCGAACAAACGACCACTGGAACACCAAAAGAAGTTCAACACCAGAACAGAGTTCTCCATTCGAGTTTACAGCAATAAACGCTACCTTAAGCAGGTCTTATTATCAAGCTCCGGAGGTCTCAAAAGTCAGAAAGCCAACACAGAAGTGGGATGTGTCTCATATGGAGTAATCCTACTAAGATGATATCTGGAAGCCGCCAATGATTCAGATAGGTTCCTTGGAATGAATCTAGTTCATGGATTCATCTCATGCTCGAGGATGGAACGCTGATGATAGATATCCGGGACCCCCTCTTAGCTCGTGAACTCAACAAGGAAGATGAGATAGCTGCTGTGCTGAAATCGCTCTTGCCTGTGTCTGTAAGAGCCCTGATAAGAGACCTTCTATGAGGCATGTCTTCGATAGTTTGGACAGACTGACATCATGCATTAATCAACAGGACATGCTTGATGAAGTAGCAAAATTCACTCAATAAAAGAAATGCAAGTGAATGCCATAATCAATAAGGGGAGTAAAGATTTTCGAGTTAGTATCACTGTACATAGTTGTAGAAGTTCCTAAGATGTTCCTTCTATATTTTATTGGATTCTTCTTTCCAATTTCTCTTAAATTAGATGTTTCTAGGAACATTAGCTTTCACTTCTGATTCTAATGATTGGCTATTTAATGGCAACCATAAATGCATACAAGACAGTAATAAGTAATCAAAAGAATTCTGTACTTTTCTCGGTCTGAAGGCAAAATTTAGTTGAATTAGAATTCAACAAAATTTAAACCTGCTTACAAGTTAATACATAAATATGATCTGCCAACATACCCTATGACCATAAGATGTTACTTTGAAAGACATTATAGAGCCTTGCAGAAGAAAGTTGTGCAACGGCTTCATGACTGACATATAGATTTGCACAAAACTGAAAGCCCCATGGCCTTGAAATCTTGTGAACTAAATCAGCACTTAAAGATGGATAATTCAAATTTACAACTTGTTCTAACTGGTTGCAAAAAATTAACATAAAATCTTGTAAAGGATAATGACCAGAGGAAAAAACTCATAGACAAAATGATGTTAACAGTGTCTCTTCAAGGTACAATTTTCATAAAAACTAAAGTGTGAAATAGTTCAGTAACAGGATGTAGGCAATACTTTCCAATAGAAAATTAGTTTCGACCATCTCAAAAGTTGAAATTTTTGGTGATCAAGAACTCACAAAAAAAAGGACAAAAAGACTTTACTAAAGCAAAATAGAATGCATCGAGGACAGGTGGAGTGGATAAACTCTTCTAGTTCACAACCTTACAGCAGATTCACATTTATGTTCAACAATGCTTGTCACTATCATGTCCTAGACCACATTAATATGCATAGTCATGTTCCAAATCAAGCATTGTAATCACTACGGAAAATAAATTATAATTGACAAAACCCCATAAGAAGTGCAGTCCCAGGCAACAGACAGAATGATTTGTTCAGCACCCAAAACTTAACTGTCATCAAACATATATCCTGATCAGAGAAGTAGCATATTATATCAGTTAAAACTATACACTAACTCTTGAAGCACTCATTTTTATTGAACTTTCACTATAAATCTCAACACTTTAATCAAATAACATATGGAACACTACACGGAAAAGAAGATAAAGATAAAGAAAGTGGCGACCATATTCTCTATTCTTATCTCACACGGACAACAAATACCAAAGAAATGAGAAAACAAGCAAAAGCATAGTTCCCCTAACTCCACTACCAAAATTGTTTCTTCTCTTTCATACCAACTCATTGTGGCTGTGAGGTTCTGCCTATTGGTTTCATTGTCCAAATGCAACGTTGACAAACCTCCGACATAGTAATGCTAGGCCTCATGGTTTGATACTGAGGCGGCAATGAGGGTGGCAGTGGCTGAGTTTTATATATTTGGGACCGTGCAGGGTCATCACATATTCCGCAGTAATTAGCAGTTTCTCCGGAAGCAAGATCAATTAGCTGAGGCTGATTATGTGTTTGGGAACAACCACATTTTGTTGCTTATTTCATTACAATTGGCATGGATAGGTGCATTTCCACCTGGGTTGTTCTATAAACTGGTGAGACAAACTCAGGTACAGGTGAGTTGCCGTGACATCCTTGTAGGCTATTGGGGAGAAATTAACGTAGAATTTGGATGCAATGGAGGCCGACCAGAAACAACCGACAAAGTTTCTTGGAACCATATTGCACAGATGACTCATATTTTGGGGTCTCACCCCCAGCAACATATACTGGGTACGATTGATTGAGCAGATACTGTAGCGCTGCTGCTGATGCGACGACGCGTGTTATGCACAGGATAGTAAGCAACCGGCACTACTGCGGTAGGATTCTGAGATACATAATGACTACCCATCTGTACAAATTGCATTTGTTGTCCCTGCAGTTGATCCAATTGTGAAGATATGGATACGCATAACCTGAACTGTTTTATGTGTGGATCTCTGGAGCAGGTTCACGAATCTAGTATCCCATGATTCAAGCGTGGAACAAACCTTATTCTCCATAGAAGCAATAGGAACAATGTGGTCTTGGTAAGTTCCAGTCTGCGCGTAAGAAATAGCACTTCCCGGGCTATTTATATCACTGCAAAAAAAATTAATCACACAATCACAGCTATGCCTCAAAACAGTTTCATTTCTATTTAGTGGGAAAATCTATGAAAACATATTTAGAGTAGTCCAATAGCAACAAAGTGAAGTATTTATGGACTTAATTCAGTTTGCACCTTGACATAATAACATAAATAAATAAACTACATCGTTCTTTCTTTATCAGCTTAGCTTCTAAAATAACTAGTTCCGATTTCACCGGCTGCTATAATTTCTCACTAATATTTTAACAGCTTTCACATCAACCAAATAAAGGAAATAAACAAGATAAAACAAAACTAATATCAATCAGTACCTTGCAGTAGACTCAGCTGAGGGCAATTTGGCCCGATTGTCTTGAAAAAAAGTCAAACTTTCATCACCACAAGCCTTAATGGGCGGCAAATTGGACAAAGAAACTGAAGACGACGTAGAACCATAAGAGGATGTTGTTTCCAACACCATAGACTCTTGCCCACAAAGCCCACCACTGCTGCCATTACCATTACTACCTTCACTTTGAATTTGGCCTTCCCCTCCAAACCCGATCTCTCCCTTCTGCATCATCTTTGCACCCTTCAACGCGTCCACGAACCAACTCTCCGTCTTAGGGTGAGTCAACCCGCACTGAGTAGTCTTCAACTCGGACTGTTTCAACCCAAACAGAAACAATCTGATGCGTGTGGGCTCAGGAAAATCCGAAAGTCGTTGAAACTCTTCCAGAAAAATCTGAAGGTCGTCGTCAGTGGAAAGAGAGATAAGCGAGTCGAGGTCATGGAGTGGCAGCTGGTACTTGAGAGTGAACGGGTAACTGACACGTAACGTGGCGGCGATGTGGGCTAAAAAGGCGGAGACTGTGGCGGTGCTGGAGGTCGGAACGCTGATGATACGCGTGTCGCCGCCAGAGTAATACAGAGACTTCTTGAAGGGCATGGGGACGATGTGGCCGCCGTAGCTACACATCAGCCGGAGCTTGCCGGAGGTCCGTGGTGGTGGCGGGTCCATAAAAAGGGCGGCGGCGGCGAGATCTGAGTGGCTTAAAGACTTGATTGCGGAAAGTGTTGTAGTTAAAAGTGAGAGCTTGGTTGCTTTCATGGTAGGATACTGAGATGCGAGTCACACGTGGCGAGAACGTGCGTGGAAAATCGCACGTCAGCGGAGGTGGATTTGGGAGAAAGTGATGGGTCCTACAATGTAATAAAAAAATAAAAAATAGAAGGGTGGGACCGATCCTATCTGGTTTTAAGATTTAGACAAAGGGAGAATGACATTTTCCCACCGAAGGTTTGGAAAAACAACATATTCCCACCCGCCAAGTTTCAAAACGACACTTTCCCACCCATCGTCCATTAACTTTAACTAAAGAAGGATATTATAGTAAATTCAAAATACAATTAAAGGGTAATTACATTATTTTATCTTCTATATATAAACTAGCTACCTTCTCATTACAGTCACCGAGTGAGATTGTTTGCACCACCTCCTGGATTCGTTGAAATTGCCGTTTTGCTTCCCTTGCCACCTTGGATTCTTTGCAAACCTGTCCGATGACATTTCTTCAAAAACCACCACCCATAATAAAGAATTCTAATCTCAAAACAGAGTAGTAGCCAGAAGATTCAGTAGTGGAACCTCCTTCTCCATCCATTGTTTTTTTTATTTTGTGTGACGACCTTCCACGGAAGATCAAATCATAAAGAAACGAAATGAAAGAGAGACACTGAGCATTCTGCTTTAATGTACAGAAAGCCCCATTAAAGAATAATCAAAATTAACCTTCTATGAAGAGCCGAAGTTTATAACAAAATATTAATGAAAAAAGACTCACAAAAACAATAATGTTTTATTTATTTATTTTCTATTTTTGAAATTGTTTAATGTTTGTGGATGACAATGGACCAATCTTAAGCAATGTCAAGAAATGAAAACAATGGATGAAAAGACAAAGAGACAAGAGAAACAATAAGAAGAAGAATCACATTGATGTTTGTTCGTTGAAAAACACCAATGAATCTGCACCATTATTATTCGAAGACAACTTACCTAAGCCGAAAGCAACAAGCTCTATTTCTTTTTTAATTTATTTATGGGGACTGCATCTTGGAAGGTCACTCTAATCAGTTGATGAACAAAATTTGCAAGGGTGAAGTGAAGGAAACTAAAGGGGTAAAGAGCTCAACCACTCAAAATCCTTCTGTTGATTTCTTGAGCTTCTGCTACACTTATTGCAAGGAATTGGAGGGTAAAGATATTTACATATACAGGTATGCTCCAATCACAGTACTAATAACCTATTTATTTAGTGTGAATGTGCCTTCGCTGGAAGATTTTATGACAAAGGCTCTAGTTTGATTGGTTTATTGCAGAGGCGAGAAAGCATTTTGCAATTTCGATTGCCGTTCACAAGAGATTTCGATTGATTAGGAAATAGAGAAAATCAGCACGTCTTTTGAAAACTCTCGACAGGTGAAGAAGAAGAAAAGGGAAGAAAACGAATGAAGGGTTTTTTCGTCTTAACACTATTTATATCATGTCAGTTAAATGATTTTATTAACATATCCTAACAATGGGTGGGAAAGTGTCATTTTGAAAGTTAGTAGGTGGGAAAGATCATTTTGTGAAACCTTAGGTGGGAACATGTCATTCTCCCTTAGACAAATTACGAGATATGTGTATGTGACAGTGATATCATCCTATCCTATGATTCCTATCCTTAAGTAGAAATAAACTAAGACTTCAACTATGTTTAAGGAGAAGTATAGATATCACTTTCGCCACTTGTTATTTATAAATATTAAATAGAATCATAACAGATGCCGTGATTATTATTATTATTATTAATTGAATTAGAAATTGTTTATACATTAGATTAGATCCTATTAATGACATTTTGTTTCTATTCTATAGCTTTAAATCTAGGAAATTTTAAATTCCAAATTTATTATTGTTATTATTATCGAGAAATGTTGAGCATATCCTCACGTGGAAAATGATCCAATGAGAGCATATGCAGAATGGATTTTGTCTTCACATAATAAGGCCAACAATTTTTCTTGTCAGTGGAGATCCTGATCTTGATCTTGATCTACCAAATCAAATTTTGTTTTGTCTAATCTAATGGTTCTGCTCTCACATGTCAATCTCACATTTATTTCAAATTGTGATATTAATAACATTTAAAAAATTAATTAAATGGAATATATATATATATATATATATATATATATATATATATATATCACTTTCGGCATAACGCAATCAATTACTTAGACCAGTTTAATTAATAATAATTGATTGGAAGTTGTGTAGAGTAACCATTAAATTCAATAGTAAAATCCTAACATTTATCTCAAAGTGTGAAAGAGAAAATTAATATTTAGTCATACCTTCAAGAAAATTGATATATTCTTTGTAAGAAATTGTATTAATAGGGTAAAACTAATATATTCAAATTTTTTGTATAAACTAAAATCTAATCCTCCACCCCTCAAACAAGAAGCAATTTTGTATTTCAAAATTCCATCTTTCAATCTCACCTTATGCTATACTTTTACAAACATTTATTTATTTCAAATTTAAATATCATAATAGTTGTTTTGTTAATTCGTTTATTTTATTTTATTTTATTGGGTCTGCTGGAGGGACATTTTTTTTTTTCTCACAAAAAATTAGAAATTCACTCTCCTTATAAATACCAAATTTTCATAATTTAATTTACCCCCTAAAGTTTTAGAAACTCATAGTTTCAGAAATAATAAAAAAATGATCAAAACCCTAACACCGTTGAAGCTTCCGTTAACGATTTACTCTAGAATGTGGTAGAAGTCAAAAGTACCACTTGTTAATGAAAAACTTTCAAGTTTTTTTGTTTCTCTCCTACATTTTTTTTTTTTCTTCTTCCCCTCTGTTCTCCCCCATCCACAATTTGAAAATCATGGCTGCAAAACCATGGGTCTATGGCCGCCACAATCTAAAAAATGCCTAGCACAACCCCTCTCACCGCTTCAAAACCATCCGCACACCAGCAAACCTTCATTGCATCTTCCTACCACCTCCCAAATCACTTCACAAAACTCCATTAAACCTTTCCATTCCCGCACCCACTTACCTCTAACCAATTTACCACCTGGAGCTCAACCCCCTTACTCCACCCCGTCGTGCGCCACAAATACCCCACCGTGGCGTCCTGTGACCAACCGAATCGACCCATCACAGCCTCATGTCAGCCATTTTCGTTTCCTTTCTGTTATTGTTTCTTTTTCTTTTTAAGTTTTGGGGATATTGAGGGGAGTAAAAGGGAAGAAAAACCATAGAAGAAAGATGGAACTTGGAAGGGAGGAAAAAAATAAAATTAAAGAAAACATGAATGACTATTTTACCCTTCATAACCTAACGTTGAATGGACTTTGTCACATTTTTGGGGTAACTTGATTGATTTATGAAACTATTAGGGGAAACTTGATTAAAATCGTCATAATTGCCAGCAAATTTGAAGTTCCAAAAATTTTGGGGGTAAATAAATTTTACTTTTTTGAGATAAATTAGAATTTTAAAATCATATTAGAGTGATGATCAAATCAAAGTTAAGAAAGGGTGATAGATCAGTTTTGGATAATAATAAAATTCAAAAGTGGATGTGATAGACAGTATTATACAATTTGTATGATGTTTTCGTTTTGTGAAACCAAAACCCATTTAAATAGTTAATATCTATTCAAAGAAAAGGCAATATAATTGTGGAATTAAAAAGTTAAAATAACAAATATAATCTAATAGTAAGTATGCTTGGCTCAATTGTTTCAATTATAGTTAAGTGTGAAGTATGATATTTCCTCTCTATTATATAATATTAAGTTTAATAACACAACGAGAGAATAAATAACAAGGGAAAGAAATAAATGGGATTAAAGTGAAAGATTAGAGGAATATGAGACTGATTTAGTATTATACAACGTTAACTCATCTTGGAAACTTATTGATATATATGTATAGTTGTAGTTTTCAATGTATATGCAAAACAATTCAAAGATAAAATTAAGAAGTAGAAAGCCATGTAAAACTTAACAAAAAAAAGAAAGCCATAAAATAAGTTTATCCATGTGTAACATACTACATGTATTCTTACATTTTCTAACTTGTTTTGTACTTTTTCCCACCCAAGGTTTGCCTTAATGACTTTTTCCCATCCAAAAAGTTTTAAAATACAACTCTCCTACCAAAGTTAATATTCTGTTACTACCCAAAGCCGATTTCAGCCGATCCTAGTGACAAAAATTTTCTTCGATCATCACTATTTGAACCTTCAGTCTCTTCTTTACAAAACCCCTCTTACTTCGACACCTAATTTCTCACCGATTGTCAGCCACTACAAAGCTAGAGTGTCTAGTTCATAATTGATTTTCAGTTGATTCTAGCGACGAATATTCAATTGGTCACACCATTCAATCCACTGACCTCCATTATGTAAAACCTCTCTTGCTCTAGCTCTTGATAACTTGCCGAATGCCGGCTAAGAAAGTGAAGTGCATTTTGAGTGTTAATGGAATATAAACTTTGGGTAAGAAAGTGATATTTTGAAACTTTTTGGGTGAACAATGTCATTAAGGCAAACCTTGGGTGGGAAAAAAACGTTTACTCTTGTTTTGTCTAAAAAATCACATCAGGATTAATGATTCATATGTCATTTGACCACGGTGCGGTTTCACTTTGACTGCCAGCGCCGTTCTCGGCTTTGAAAACGAAGCGGTTCACTCTCTCTCACCTTATAAACAACCATCCCATGGGTCCCATGACGACTCCTTTGTCTCTCAACTATCTCTTCCAATTTCCCAGGAATTTCTGGTAAAATTTTCCTTTCTTTAAACAACTAAAAACTTTTCACCTTTCTGTATGCTTCATGTCAATTATCCTTTTTGTCGTCTTCTCTATAATTGTATGTAAATATTGGGTGAACGTAACTGACAGGAAGGTTCCTATCACCATTCAACAACTTTCTGAGATTTTTGTTGTTGATACTCATAAACTCAGCTACCGCTTGTGTTATTGTTTGTGTTTGTTTGGTTGATTGATTGGTTCATACAATACAATGACTTGGTGGGATTTATCTTCGCTTTCTTGGGTTGGAAATTTGAGAGGCATGTTTCAGGTTAGTGGGTTTTTGTTTTCAGAGTTGTAGACGTTCAATTAGCATCATAATTCGTATAATGTGGGCGTTATATTAGGCATGCGTGTGATCATTTTGTTTAGAACTCAGGACACAAGGGAAAAAAGAGAGATGGGGTTTAGTTCTAGATTAATAAATGAGTTGTGTTATGTATTGTAAGGCTTTTAGTTCCAAGCACTTTGATTTGCAGCTCATAATTTTGTGAAGGAATTATGTATGCTAATGTAGAAAAACATTTTTTTTTTTTTTTTTTTATTGAACTTCATATTACCGTTTAGAGACACTGTGAGTTATACAAAATTTACAATCGTATTTATTATCATAAGGTACATGTACAGTTGAGATGTTCATGTCACTGAGGGGTGCATACTTTACAGACCAAAATTTGATGATTGAAATTCTTAGTTTGTGAAATTTGATGATTGAAATTCTTGGTTTGTTTAATAATTCTTGATGTCTGATTGATATGTTTGGGTAATATAGGATTGCTGTTTGAGGGTTTTATGTAATTAGAATAGATGTGCAAAGTTATGCTTAGTTCTTTTAATTTTTTCCAGCTTAAAATATCCCAGATATACATCTGCGATAGTCAACTGTGCTGTTCTAAGGATTATTTAGGATAGATTAACTTTATTGTTTTGCTGTGACCTTAAGATTCATTTTTTCTGGCATTTTTTTAAGGATAAATCAAGTCGGAGGCTGCGAATATCTGCAAATAGTAATCATTCGTTTACAAACATTAGTTGTCCTCTAATAGATCATCAGAACGAGGAGGTATTCTTTTTCTTTCATGAATTTTGTTTGAAACAGTTAAAGTGTACTTGCATTGACATGGTTTTGTTGTGTGTTATTTGAACACATAAATGAAGATCTGAAGTTTGTAGGAGATACATTATGTAGTTAATTGAAAGTTGTTTTAGTGGACTTTACTCCTTATAGGTAGGTGAAAAAGAGAAAAAGAATATAGTAGATTAGATGATTTAACCTGAAAAAAATTACAGAGGCAAGATCAGAACATAGGGTGATCAAGAATTTTAATTTTTGATTGTATGTGTTTTAATGACCCAAATCATCTCTATTGTTATCACTGATGAAACATACAAAATTGAATTATAGAGAACTTCAAATTGGGTATGCTTGAGTTGCATTGTTATTTAATCTTCAAAATTAGTAGACTAGCTTATATAAACAGACAAAATATGCAGATTCAGAATCGAATAAGTTCTATCATGGATAGCAAAAATTGAGAAAGAACTCTCATGCTCATATAATGAATTAATCTGAAATTTATACAGGTCAGTGTTAGAAAGAAAAACCTAGACCATGCTCAGAGATAGCTAAATAAAACACAATAATAACATTTATATTCTTTAGTTTCCTCATTTAATTGAATATGCCTTTTGGATGAGCTAATAGCTTGATATCCAATTAATCTAAATTTATTCTGATGTGTGTATAATTCATAGTACAGAACGATGGAGGCCCAGAATGTTTCACATACTCTCAAGTCTCATGGAGTTAGAGTTGCAAGGACACACATGCATGATTGGCTGATACTTTTGCTTCTTGCGGTGATAATGGCCATCCTCTTGCTCATGCAACCATTTTACCGTTTTGTTGGGAAGGATATGATGACTGATCTTAGATACCCCTTGAAAAGTAATACAATACCCTTTTGGGCGGTTCCAGTAAGTTCCCTGCATGGTTGTGCATACGTTTCTTAAAATAAACTCTTTAGTTTTAAGAATTTAATATTTGATTAATGATGGCCCTTCCTTTCCCCGAGATTATTAGTTGTATGCAGGTGTCTTGCCCTTGGTGATATTCCTCATTGTCTATTACTGTAGGAATGATGTATATGATCTTCATCATGCAATACTAGGTGATCATTTCTTTTAGTTCATGAATGTTTTTCTGTAAATTAATCTTTTGAGCAATTATATGAAGCAGAGCATTCCTGCTTGTGCAGGCCTCTTGTATTCTCTTTTAGTGACAGAGGTTATTACGGAGTCAATAAAACTTGCTGTTGGTCGGCCCAGACCAGACTTCTTCTGGCGTTGTTTTCCTGATGGAAGGGATGTATGTTTCTCTGATTCCAAATTAATGTGATTTCTGCTTCTGTGTGAACAGACAGTTTGCTGCCTATTTTGTTGCTCTGTAACATGTCATATTCTCATATTTGAAACTTAATTACTCTTTGCATGTCAGGAATATGATCAATGGGGAAATGTCATATGTCATGGTGATAAACATGTCATAAATGAAGGGCATAAGAGCTTTCCAAGTGGGCATACTTCAAGTGAGTTCTGCTAATACTATATATTTAAGTGAGGAATCCAATGGTGTTTTTGTAAGAGAAAATGGATTGAAATAAGTCAGTTGGATGCCAAAATCAAAGCTATGCTTTTATTTACTTAATTGTTTATTTTTTGAGGGATCCATTATATTTCGGGAATAATTGGATTCTTTTGTCAGTCTCCTTTGCCGGAATGGTGTTCCTATCACTGTATTTATCTGGAAAAATAAAAGTGTTCGACCGCAAAGGCCATATTGGAAAACTTTGCATCGTCATTTTCCCTCTACTTGTTGCAGCTTTTGTTGGCATTTCTCGAGTTGATGACTACTGGCACCACTGGCAGGACGTCTTTGCGGGAGGTTTACTAGGTTTGTGTAAATCTTATTCTGTATTGAAACTACTTTTCGATTCATTTGTTGTACAACTTCACTGAAGCATCTTTGGCAGGGCTCACCGTGGCTACGTTTTGCTATTTGCAGTTCTTCCCACCACCATATCATGCTGAAGGTATGCCCCTGACCATGTAATAAAATTCCAATATTGATAAGAATAGATAGATTTTGGAAATGGTAGTATTGAGCTCCATATTGTTGTAAATTCCCATGGAAGACAAAAGTTGGAACTCTCATAAAATGGGCTGAAACACCAACTTTGGTTACCTCGGTGGTGGTCAACATTATTGGTTTGCTCAAATTGAATTGTATTCTTGTTACTTTACCGATCTTTTGCACGTATTATTCTGTAGGTTGGGGACCGTATGCATACTTTCACATGTTGGCAGAGTTGAATGCAAGAACTCAAGAAGGCAGTGCTGCGAATTCACACTCTGTACGGACCGTCTCCGTACAGACCATGGGCTCTCAGGCTTTGAATGAACATGATGAAAGAACCAGTACTGGATTTACTGGGTTACCCTCAGCATTTAATTCTAGTTCATCAGATTTAGAAGCTGGGAGGAGATAAAACTTTTTTTATCTTCTATTTTCAGCTCCATCTCAAATTTTGATTATGCAGGATATAGCTTGTGTACAGAACCTTTTTCATTTTTTGTTCTCAATTTACATTAGTCGTCTCTTCAATCTCCAAATGTTTTCATTTTCTATTATTCCAATCAAATCGATTGCCAAATGTTTTTATTTAGACTCCACAAAAATTCGATTAAATCTTTTTGTTCTTAAAAATGAATAACTAATACTAAGTAGTGATGCAATTTTTTCTCTCTATTTTATCTAATACAATCTCATTTTAAATATATTTCCTAATTAATTGTGTTTTACAACCTGGCCCGGCCTGGGTGGTTGAACCGGTTCAATCAGGACCTGAGGCTTTCATCGTGTTGGTTACCAATTTTGACTGTTCATGGCAAACTCTAGAGATTAGGACGACGATCAGTGAACAATTAGTATTTAGACTCCACAAAAATTCGATTAAATCTTTTTGTTCTTAAACATGAATAACTAATACTAAGTAGTGATGCAATTTGTTCTCTCTATTTTATCTAATACAATCTCATTTTAAATATATTTCCTAATTAATTGTGTTTTACAACTTGGCCTGGCCTGGGCGGTTGAATCGGTTCAACCAGCACCTGAGGCTTTCATTGGGTCGGTTATCAATTTTGACTGTTCATGGCAAACTCTAGAGATTAGGACGACGATCAGTGAACAATTAGTGGCTAAAATGTTGGGGCTTTTAAAGAGGAAGGGTTAGTCAGTCAAAAGGTAGTGACGGAGGTGATTTCCAATGAGTGAAACGACCGAAAAAATCCCAAAAATCGATCGACAACAATAGATGGTTGTTGTTGGCGATTGGCAAGGCGAACAAGGGTAGGGTGAGATGGGTTTTGGTTAGGAGGTTGAGGGGAAAGTTTTCGTGGTGATGGGGTGTGTTGTCGACATCGAAAACAAGCCCTATTTGGCCTGAATTGTCGACGCCGACTGTGTAATTTGGAATGTTTTGTAGGATTTCAAACCTGTTGGAACTTATGGTAATTTTAGGGGTGTTTTTGTAAATTTCAAACCTTTGAACATGCTGACATCATCAATTTGCCCCGTTGGTCAAACCAATTCAACCAGACCCGGCCACTTTGTTGGGTTTCACCTGGGCTGGTTTTAAAACACTGCTAATTAAACCTTTATTCTTAAATTAAAGGATATTTCTGGCTTAATAATTTGACTTAGAGCAAGCGACATAATCTCACCCGAAGTTTGGGGAATCCCAAGTTGGTATCCCTAGTTCAATTTATCCCGTTTTGCCACTCTTAATCTAACATCGTTTGCTTGGTTTTAATAGCAAAAGGGTAAAAAAGACATTTAAGACAAACTAATTCAAATAATAAAGAAGCCTAGGGAAATGTTGCAAATTAAATTCAAATAATAAAGAAATAATAAATAAGCTTAGGGAATTGTTGCAAAATGTGTAGAGAAGGATAATGTATGACGGCTGGAGTTATTGCAGAAGTCATGCGAAAAAAAAAATCTTTGAACACTCTTACACTTTCTCTTTCAAATGAAAATGCAGATTCTTTTTTCTGAAAAATTAACCCATAGACATTAACCCACAAACCTCATCGCTTGTGCAACAAAAATGGCAGCCATTAATCCTTGCGACCTTCTTCCCATCCCATAGTTGAACTCGTAAGCTTACCAGATATGGTCTCTCACCGTCGCTTTGACTCCCTAACAAGATGAACAAAATCAATATTCCAATGAATATTCTTATCCCCTCATCATCCTTCTAGCTAATGCCTCCCTTTTAGGCCTCACCGAATCCTTGCCGCTTGGTTTTTCTACTTTGACTCCCAAACAAGATGAACAAAATCATTCGTACGCTTATCATTTTCGTCAGTGGCATTTGGCGAAAATCGTTAACATAAACTGACATCAACAACAATCGTAAACCGGTGAATACGAAATGACAACCAAACCTAGACCCATTAACCTGAAACCACTGTATCAGTCGCATAGACACAACCTTGGGGAGGAATACAAGCCATCAACTAGAAGAGAAGTCTCACCAGTTAGAGGAAGACGAACGACGGGTAAAGAAAGACGACGGTTACAGGAGATGGATGATATGGCGACGTGGTTTGCGGCAAGGTATATCGACAGTTGATTTACGTATTTTTTGTATATGGTTTGTGCTGGATTTTTCTGTGGATTGGTTTTTTGGTTATGTGTTTAGTGGTGGTGTATTGGTGTTAGGGTTGTGGTGGTGGTGTTAGGGTGGTGTTTGGGTGGTGGTAGATGGATTAGTGGTGCATGTTTGTTGGTTCAATGGGGGTATGTTGGTGGTCGGTTGGTGATGGTGATTGTATGATGGCGTTAGGGTGGTTGTTAGGTGGTGGTAGGATGGTGATATAGTAGTAGAGGGCTTTAGGATTAAAGTTAAGGTTTTGGTGTAGTGGTGGTTTAGGATATTGGTGTTGCATGGTAATGTTAGTAATGGTAGTGGTGTGTGTATGGTGGTACAATTGATAGTGGTGTTAGGGTGACTTTGGTATATTGGCTGGAAACCAGTAACCATCTTAAATGCTGCCTAGCAGTAGTTGACAACTTTTGGTGTAACAATGCCATGTACTTAGGGTGGTGGTATGGTAGTGATGGTGGTAGTAGCGGGCTTTAGGATTAGGGTTAAAGTTTTGGTGTAGTGGGGGTTTAGGATATTGATGTTGCATAGCAGTGTTAGTATTGGTAGTGGTGTGTGTATGGTGGTACAGTGGTGGTAGAGTTTATGGTGGCGTTAGGGTGATTTTTGGTATATTGGCTGGAAACTAGTAATTGTCTTAAATGCTGCCTGGCAGTGGTTGACAACATCTGGTGTAACAATGCCACGTACCTTGGGTGATGGTCTAGTGGTGGTAGGGGTGGCAGTTGATTTTTTGTTTATAATTGCTTGGTTATGTTTGTTTATGCAGGTTGAAACCAAATTCCTATGACTTTAAAGTTGAAGTGTTTAGTTTAGAATATGATATACTAAATGTCAATCCAGATGAGTATAGTTACATATGTTTTGTTAAAGATGTGAAACGATGTATGGCTTCGGAGAATGAGGCTATCGAAATGAACCCTTATGAGAAGTTTAAGGCAGAGGTTGAGCTACCATTTTCAGGGGCTAGATACGTAGTGGAAGGGGATGATGATATGAAATTTATATTTGAGCAATATAAGAGTTTTGGCAAGCGAGTGATAAGGGTCTATATAGAAGTCATATCAATAGACTTTGTTGAACCTATAACTTTATTAGAAGCCCAATTAGAGGACAATAAGGGTTTTGTTAGGCAAGATAATGAGGAAGCTGAAGAGGGTATTCTAGATGAGTTCTATTGGAATGTTGAAAATGATCATGAAGAAGACCATGAGAGTGGGCATGATGGACAAGGAAGTGGGTGGTAAAGGGTATAGAAATTGGACAGGAAAGTGGGGCAGTAAAAGGAATTAAAATTGGGCAGGGAAGTGGTGGGGTTGAGGGAAATCAAACTGGGCAAGGTAGTGGTGGGGTAGAGGACATTGAAGTTTAAAGGGAAATATATGAATAGCATGAGGACAGTTCATATGAAGGGTCTACTGATGATAAAGATGCAATAACTAGGTTTAGCAAGCACATAAAGGGCCAACAGTTTGCATATGGGCATAATGGGAAAACCCACTTCAAAGATGGTCAAGTGTTTGAGGGAGTTAATTACTTTAGGAAGGTGTTTCGAGATTATGTAATTCAAAGAGGGGTTTTTTGTTAGGAAGATTCACAATGAGAGAAGAAGATTTAAGGCCAAATGTAAGCAAGGAAACAGTCCATTTCATCTATATGTTGCTTTGATGCTTGATGATATGTCTTTATAGATTAGAAAGTATAAGCACACACATACATGCACGAGGGTTTATAATAATAGAGAGGCAACAAGTGCTTGGGTGGGTGAAAAAATGGGAGACTTCATCAGATCCCAAAAGGGTTCATCAATTAAGTCATTGTTAGACGTGTTGGGTAGGAAACACTATCTGCAATTGTCTAGATCCAAACTTTATACAACTAATAAGCTGGCAAATGGGAGGTCAGACAAGCTCTATGTAGAGTCTTTTGCTGGTTTGTTAAAATATGATCACATTGTCAAACATACCAACCCAGGTTCCATGTATAATGTGAAATCTGTTAGTCCAGAAGGGATTCCAAACTTTCAGAGGTGTTTCTTAGGATTTGTAGCATAAAAGAAGAGGTTTATAGAGGGTTGTAGGCATTTTATAGGTATGGATGGGTGCCATCTTAAAGGGCCTTATGGTGGAGTACTATTGTTAGCAGTTTCTATGGATGCTAACAATGACATTTTCCCAGTAGCAATTACCATTTGTGAGATAGAAAACAAAGAATCATGGAGATACTTTATAACTTTGTTAATGGAGTTTATAGGGGACATTAACCCTATTACTATCATGAGTGATAGGTAGAAGGGTTTGGTGGATGCTATATAGACCTGTTGGCCAAATGCTAGTATTAGACATTGTGTTAGGCATGTTTATGCTAACTTTAGGAAAAAATTCCTTGAGTTAAGGTTAAGGAACTTGTTTTAGGCTGTTACTAAGGCTGCCAATATCATTGATTTTCAGCAAGCCATGGAAAAGGTTGAAGTTGTAGATAGAGAAACTCATAGGTGGATGATTGAAAATGATGTGAGATCTTGGTCAAGGCATGCATTCAACCTTGATTCCAAATCCGATCATGTTACAAATAACATGTGTGAAGTCTTTAATAGCTGGTTGGCAGAGAATAGAGAATTACCCATACTAAGCTTGTTAGAGCATTATAGGAGAAGGGTTATGGTACATATGCAAGCTAGGGCAAATGCTAGAAATGATTGGGTCACAACTATTCCCCCTACTGTACATAGGAAAATCAATGGTCTAATTGAGTCTGCTAGGAATGTTGAAGCTATCTGGTGTGGGAGTGATGAGTTTGAAGTGGTGGATACCAAT